CTCTGCTATTCATTCCATAGTCTCTTCGCTTTCAGCAAATACCTCACCTAATATAGTCATTGAAAGATATTGATATCAACATATTTTAACCAAGGCAGATAAATTATTTTCTAAATCAGAAGAGCCCAAAGTTGTCGGTCCGGCAAGAAAAATTTCCCCTAGTGGATCATGAGGAGTAACAATGAGAGGAGACGTTACCATTTCAAGCCATTCTCATTCTTGATTTTCAGACTCATGAATCCTGGCTAAGGGAGAAACAGCACCATACATTGCTCACTGACTGGGGGCACCTAGAGTGTCCTGGAGGACTTTGTCCTGCCCAGTTTTGGCACTCAGCTAGTGTTGTAACTGAGTGTCCAAAAGACCGTTCTACCATTCTTTCAGGCCATTTACTTTAAGGCGATCAGGTACATTGTAAGACCTGTGAATTCTGTGATCACGAGCCCCTGGGCAAAGACAAGGATGACTGGAGAAAACGGTTGTAGAAAGAATGTGGCATCTTGGCGTCCTGACTATTAAGAGCCTCATCTAATGAGGTTGCCTTTGGAGAACATTTATGAAAGACACGATATTTTCACACTTTGTGTAACTTTAGAGTGGCTCATCCACATACCTCGTCCCCAGACTTCCTTCCTTATCACCAATTTCCAAACGTATTCCCTCCAATCCCATGAACATCACGTCAAACCTTTAGCCACAGCACACACACACTCTTTGTTTAGTGTGTGTTTGTACCTCTGGCCGTCTTCCTCGCAAAATGAGCAACCATGTGTGCTGCTCAAAGTTCTGTCCACTGGGAAGATTCTCCTTTACCCTTATCCTTTAGGGTCCCCTCTGAGTGGAGCAGTTGTGCTGCAACTTCCCACCTTCAGGTGGTACCTGAAATAATTCAAATCATGCAGAACCAATTCAGCAGTGCCCCCCTATGAAGATGAAGTATATGTTATGTTCAGAATCCAACAAGGCCCACTAAGCATTGTACTTCTTTTTTTTTTTTAATGATTGGAACCTGAGCCAACAACTGTTGCCAATCTTTTTTTTTGGGGTGGGGGGGGTTTCTCCCCAAACCCCCCCCAGTACATAGTTGTATATTTTAGTTGTGGGTCCTTCTAGTTGTGGCATGTGGGAAACCACCTCAACATGGCCTGATGAGTGATGCCATGTCCGTGCCCAGGATCTGAACCGGTGGAACCCTGGGCCACCGAAGTGGAACTCGTGAACTTAACCACTCTGCCATGAGGCCAGCCCCAAGCATTGTACTCCTTTCCTACCGGTAGGAGAAGCCAGAGGCAGCAAATTGTCTTTCTCCTTAGCAGGGATTTTTGACATGCCTCAGAATGCTGGGCCCCTAGAAAATTTACCAGGGTGGCAAGCTCCTTAATTTCTAAGGGATTTATTTCCCAGTCTCTGGCATGCTTGTGTCTTACCAAAGTATCTAGAGCACTTCTCACTCACCAGGTCCATCCAGCATGATATCATCCACGTAGCTGATAAAGCCCTGAGGAAGGAGAGTGAAGGTGTATTGCTGGCCCTGCCAGTTGAAAGTAAACTGCTTCTGGTGATCTTTACTAACAGGTATAAAGAAAAATTATTTGCCAGATTAATAGCTGCATACCAGGTCCCAAGGGATGTCTTTGCTCTAGTAAAGAAATTGTGTCCTGAATAGGAGCTGAAATTGGAGTTAGCCTGATTAAGTTTACGTCACTGCCATTCTCCAAGGTCTGTTTGTCTTCTACACAGAACCAATAGACAAGTTGAAAGAGGATCTGGTAGGAGTCACCACTGCTATATCATTTAAGTTCTGATGGCGACACTAATCTCTGCAATCTCTCCAGGAATGATGTGACTTTGGGTTTACCATTTTGGTAGGTACAGACTGTTCTAGAGGCTTCCACATGATATTTCCCATTGTAATAGCCCTCGTTACATGTGTTAGGGAGCAAATGTAGAGTGGAATTGGGAGCAGCTCTTCTCATTGCTCTCCCTAATGGTTCAGTAGCAAAAGGCTACTTCTTCTTCCTAAAACTTTGGGCCTTGCTGGTTTAGAGGTACTAGTCCCCAGGAGAAGAAGGTCTCCACCAGGGGACATGAAAACAATTCTCTTAAAATGAAAGTAGAGACTGCCCCCAGGCTACTTTGAGTGTGTTTTTCAGAAATCTCAATCCTGCAGCCACAGGAAATAAGAGTCTCTTTTAAGGCAATCATAGAACAATCCTGCTTTCTCATCCAGGCCTTGAGCTGAGAATTTAAAGCCCAGAGCTCCTAATTTTCTTTCTCCAACTTCTTGAGTATACTTAGAAGCAAGCAAATAATCCCATTATACTTTCTATTTTCATTAAGTTGTTCAGTGGCAGCAAAACTTGGTCACCCAAAGCCTTGCCTTCTATAGATTTTTGATTACAAGTGACTACAGCGCTGTCTTGCCACTGCATGCCATAGTCTACCAGTGTCACCTTTACCATTGACAACAGGGTTATTAATGCCTTTAAATGTAATCAGATCAATTCAAGATTCCTTTCCTCAAGATTCTATTCCTCTAGAACCATTTCCAGTAGCTATAATGGTATTTGATCTTGATTTGATATTGATACTACTGATATTATTCAGGATTCATTCAGGGAAGGAGAAACACTAAGAGTATTATGCAATAAGGGATTTATTAGTGGAATAAGACATTACACATTTTGGAGAAACTGGGGAAGTAACCAACTGAATGGAGAAGCTGGTGGATCAGAGAAAAGACACTAATCAACGCTTCTGAAGTCAGGCATGTCCAGGTGTTAGAGCAGGATCCTAGAGAGTAGGTGGAGAAGTTTATATGGAAGCCTGTTGCCTCCATCTGGGGGTTGGCCTGGGGTTGCTGTGGGTTGGCCTGAGGTTGCCATCGGTTGGAGGAACCAAGAATTGCTAAGAAAAGTTTCATGTGGAATGAGGGGACCTGGAACCTACTGGCACTTCTAGTCATGACAACTTTCACAGAGTAATTGCTACTACTGAACTTTTCTGCCTTCCCAATCATTCACAAATTAATCTTTTGGACAACTCTAATCTAGAATCATGCAGGGAAGAGGATTCTGGGAAATGTAGTTTCAGCTTACCCAAATTGACAGAGTACAAAAGAGTACACCACATGCCATTTATTAGCTGCTTGATATTGAGCAAACTATTTTGTCTGTGAGCCTCTCTAACTCTCTTCCCATCTCAGGGTTTGGACAAGATCTTCTGGGACATTTTCCTGGATTTCTATAAGATCCTCTGTTGCTGGGGATCTTCCACTAACAGGTCCCTTGATATGGGCCATACTCCCTCCCACTGGCCACTTGTGACTCTCAGCCTCATGGCTCCTGGCAGTCTTTCCCTAGCTGGGGTCACCTATCCCTTCCAGGCAGCCCTCTTGGGCAATACACATCTGGCCCTTGGAAAACATGCAAACATCCATGCTCTGCTAAGCTCTCGAGGTGCAGCTCACTCCCAAAATAGTTCTCTAGACTCACTATCCAGGCCAGCAAGCCAGTCACAGCCACTTGCCTTCAGATTATTTTCAGGCCTGAGTCTCTCTGCCACTGCACTCCAATGGATTCAAGTCAGACTCCTGGAGTTCTTTTCTGCAATCTCCCTCTTAAGTGGATTATAGTAAGAAAGAATCAGCACCTAAACCTTCCCTTTGGCTGGGGGAGGAAGGAAGTGACCACCCTCTCCAGATGAATCTTCATTACCACATGCCTTTCAACCTGAACTCTTAGCCCTCTCTTACACAGTCCGGAGGTGGGTAATGGTCTAATGACCATCCTTTTACAAATCTGTAGAGTCTACTGTCTTGATTTAGAATGTTGGGGTAGTTGAGAATTGCTGATACTCTTCTTTTCCTGACCTTTAGGGCCTGTGCTCAAATTTTGAGATGGGAAGAGTCCCATTAACATACTGTTACTAAATAAAGAGCCTAGCACAGTGCTTGGCACATGGTAGACATTCGCTAACAGAAGTGATGGTGTATTGCCAATTACTCAGCATGTAGATCAATCCAGCGTTTGAAAATGGTTGGAATCCTCTTCCTCTAAGACAGACTGAAGGGGAGTTTGTACCCTCATGTAAGGCTTGAAAGGCAGTTGCCTGGTCCTCCTTATGCCCAGTCTACGTGTCTATTCCAAATACAATGTTTACAGCCATCTAAGTCCAGTAGCATCTGCACCCAAGCACACACTCGGACCCACATTCAGTGACAAATCACAAGCCCAAGGAAGTCAGGAACCAGCTTGGCTGCTCACACTGCGGGAAGGGAGAAATGAGCCCTCCCCTGTTCTGAAGTCCCATCTCAGCCACAGCAGGTGGAGCGAGAACGTGCTGCTGTGCGCTGGGCTACGTGCAGCCAGCGTGCCCTGGACTGACGTACTGACGTCTGTCTTGATTAGTCAGTCTCTGCGCTGAACTAGTTTTTATATAGTTTGAATATCATCCTTGCTGTGGGCATAGAGATACTCAAATCCACGGATGCACAGAAACACCAGCAGCATACGTGCATACACCATTACATCTTCATACAGGGGTGCACATGCAGTCACTTTCCTTAAGTTTAAAAGAAGTTACGTGAACTTGGAAAATATGAACTGAGCTGATCTGGGGTGTGACAACATGTTAGGGAAACACTGATGTATGTGTTTCAAGTCTTTCTCTTGGCCTCTGTCTTAGTCTTTAGGTCTTCATTTCTTTGGTTGTTAGATCTCACAGGCAGCACTGGAAAGGATTAAAGAGGACACAAGCATATCCTCCAAAAAAAACTCCCAAACCCAGAAATACAACATAGAGTCATCATTTTCTAGATTGTAAGGGTGTACTGAGAAAGGTTCAATAAACACACTAGGGCAGGGGTTGGTAAAAGTTTTTTATCAAGGGTCTGATAGTAAATGTTTTAGGCCTTGTGGACCATATGGTCTCTTTGCAAACTCAGTTCTGCTGTCATAGCAGAAAAGTAGTCATAGACAATAATAAACAAATGAGCATAGTTATGTTCCAATAAAACTTTATTTACAAAAACAGTCAATGGGCCAGATTTGGCCCATGGGCTGTAGTTTGCAGACCCCCACCGTAGGGTCTAAAGAGCCCAGAAGCCATCAAGACTGGCTTCACAGGTCTTCCAAAGGTTGATAGGCGCTCCATTCTGTCTCCTGCAGGAAGGACAAAAATCAACTGTGTTGGATGCGGCACCAGTTTTAATTATTTCGTGCTGTGCTGTGGTGTTTTGATGTTCTTCTTAATGAGTGATCTCAATTCCTGCTTTTTGTCTCTACTTCCCTCTTTCTGTGTATATATTTCTAAATGCTTCCCATTCTTCTTCGTTCTGTCCCCTTGCACTGACAGGGTGGGTGATTTTGGAATGAGAATCTTTCACATTCATCCGTGCTAAAATCCTGGCTTCTTTTCAGGCTCCCTGTCTTTACTGGAGTAAAGAGGCAGTGTGCAGTGATGTAAAGAGCACTTGTCTGGATCACTGGGCAGGACACGCTACCAGTTTACTGTGCGACTCTGAGCAAATTACCTAATCTCTCTGAGCCTCCCTTTCCTCATCTATCAAATGAGAGAGTTGGCGAACTGATCTCTAAAATCCCTTCTAGCTCTAAGCTTGTAATTTTAAGAAGCTGCAGCCTCAACTCTAGGAACTGTCTGGGGCCATTAATTAGGATGTCACTCACAGACCTTAATGAAACTGCCAGGAGGTCACAGAAATTAGCCACACAATCTCCTGTAGTTGGCAACCTTCCTGAGGCCTCCACAGCTGAGGAGGTGGGGATAGCAGCTAACTTCAGGAATCTGAGATGGCATCCTACTAAGGGGGGAAAGGAAGACAAATGTCTCCAGGACCCCTATGCTCCAGGGAGATTAATTTGCATTCCTAAACTGCACTGAAGCAGCTATAAATGTGCACAGAGGTTGACTTGGTTGGAAAGAGGACCCTAGGTAGCTGGTGTTGGGAGGTGGGATACTTTCCCTTCTCCGCCACCCCTCGCCCTGTGGGACTCTTCTGGCCATATAAGGGACACCTCTCAGAGCCCACCAAATACATATACGAATAGGTCAGGAGGAAACAGAGGCTTTGAGGGATTAAAAAAATGCATTAGCAAATCCCAGCATGTGCCAAAGGAAGGAGGTCTTCTCTGGAAGCAGAGATGAGGGAGGTCAGGGAAGCAGGATGTCAGCTGGGCAGGGCTGGCGCTGGTTGGCAGCCTGGGGGAATTCGTACAGCATCATCCCCATTCTGTCAGGCTCATCCCCCAGCTCAAAGCCCTGAGGCTTGTGGATGCAGCAGACAGACAGGCAGAGGGCTGGAGCCCTCTCCCCTCCTCCGGGACAGTCACAAGGCGGGTGGGGAGGGAGTGGAAAAGCCCACAGCCTGGCCTCCAGGAGAGCAGGCTCTTATTGTCTGACTGCTAAAGCTGTCTCATTCGTAGCCTAAATAATTCACTCACCAATCTCTCAAGGAGCATTAGAAGAAAAACAGAACCCGACCCAGCCCTCACGCTCAGGTTGCCACTGCACTGAAGGCAGGCTAGGAGGCTGGGAGGCAGTCCCCAGCTGCAGACACTGCCGGTCTGCAAAGAGTCATTGGGGCTGACAACCTTCCAAGAATGGCCTGGGGCCTGCTTTTGTACAGCCCTCGAGCTAAGAATAATTTTTACATTCTTAAAAAGTTTTTTTTTTTTAAAACAAAACAAACAACAACAACAAAAGATGCCAAAGAGACCATATGTGGCCTGCAAAACCTAAAATATTTACTATCTGGCCCTTTGCAGAAAAAGTTTACCAACCCCTTAATCAATTCCCCAGCCTTGAAGGAGGTGATGAAAATCTTTGACCTAATCTCCGACGACCCCACTACCTGCAGAGATTTAAAGTTTCAGAGTTCTGATATTTACAGTCTAGTGAGAAGGTGGCATCATTGTTCACCCCATTACCAAAAACAAAACAAAACAAAAACAAGAAGATAAACCCTGGAGTGGGGTGAACAGTCTTGATTCTACCACATGGTGAGGGAGGGAGAGAAGGGAGAGGCTGAGACTCAGACTCAATCCCTTGTCTCATTCACCTTCTCTGAGGGTCAGACTTCAGCCCTGTCCAGGTCGATCTCTACTGAGAGCCCTCCCCTCAAGGCCCCCACCACACCCTGAAATCCCAGTGATCCCAGCTGATCCCAGCAGTCACTGAGGCTGTCATTCTCTTCCTGATGAGATATCCAAGTAGCCCGCGTCTCTGAGTCCCTGAAGCCCGTGTGTCAGCCTGACTGTCCCAGCCCTCAGTCTGAGACAGAGGCTCCATCCAGCCCAGCAGGGGATCCCCTCCCGCCCAGCATGGCCTTTGAAGGGAGAGGACTCTGATCAGCCCTGGACCCCACTCAGACCCCCTCTTGGAGCCAGAGCCTCTAAGAGTTACAGCCTAAGGACTCCAGAAGAGACGGGCAGAGGTGGGCAATGGGGCTGCCAGCTCAGAGTGCCCCAGACATAACTGGGCTGAGTGACCTCTGGGCTGTCATGGGTATGTTTGGAATTTTAGGGGCTGAGGGCAGAGCGGCGATCCAATGGCCCTGCATCCTGGTGTGTATTCTGGATTATTTCAGATAGGAGAACAGTGAGCTAGGGTAAAATGCCTGCCCTAGCCTCTCTCAAGAAAAATGTTTCTGCTGTCCAGCCAGTTCTTTGCAGGTTCCTGTTCTTGAGATGAAAACAACACATGGAACGTCCAGGCTGGAGTCCCAGCACCCAGGCTAACGGAAAGGGCAGCAGTCCTAGAGACTTGGGAGCCCACGCTGTAAGACCTTGAGCAAGTCACCTCACCTCTCCAGGACTCAGTTTCCTCATCTTTGAAAAGAAGCAAATAAACAAAAACCTGAGGAGCTTGTATGGGGGTGATTTTAAGGTCCTGTCCATCCCCTACCCAACGAGTAGCCCAAACCAGGCCATGCCTCTGCAGAAGCTTTGCTGGGAAGTTGTGTGGCTTCATCTCTGCTTTCCTTCCCCAGATCAAGCCAGTCCCATCCAAACGAGATCCAGCTGGTCTGGCATAAGGGGAGCAGGTTTTCCTTCAGTATGTCAGCTGCTTTTGGGGTCTTTGGACTGATGTGAGGAAGGGAAGTGGTAGGGAGAGAATGTGACCTTTGTCTCTGTGCCCTGTGGCCAGGGGGTGGCTGAAGAGCTGTGGGAGTCTCAGCCCCATGCCCCCAACACGCCCACAGCATATGGCCCAGAAGCCACAGTCTGATACCACACGCTTTAATCTAACTTATCTAAATTGTCTTTTGTCAACTCTCCAACTTGACTGGACATTCCTCGAGGGCAGGAATTGTATCTTGACCTTCTTCTGTGTGCCCCGGCAGAGCACAGCACAACACTAGGTATGTGGCTGGAGATCTGTCCACCTCTGCTGAGCAGCTTAACTGAAACGCCCCTGGAAGAGGGATGCTGCATTTGGCAGGGCCGCGTGTCCACGTAAGAGAATCTCCATATTTGCTGGCTGATAACCGGATACCATTCTTCAGTCTGTGGCTCAGTCAGGCTGTCCTGTCCAGGCCATGACCCCAAGAGCTATCGTGTGACCTAGCAAGCAAGTAATGGAGGAAGGTTAGAGAAGGGAAGGCCTATCCCATCCCAGCATGCCCAAGACTCCCCAGGACATGCAGGCCACGGAGAGGCCGCTGCTGCCCATCCCCTGCCCGTGCAGCAGTCCAGACTGGGAAAATGTGGCCGGGGGGGGAGGGGGTCCCTTGCAGACATAAACCAGGTGCGCCTCACACTGTTTGCTGCAGAAGAGCCATCCAAAGGGCCAGCACAGTGCTACAAACCCAAACCTATCACATGGTGGCAAATGCCACAAGATCTGTGGTGGGTCTCACTCTCTTCTATTCTCCCATATCCTCAGAATGGCTGTCTCCCTCACCTGCCTGCAGACAGGAAGCTCTACTTTATATGCAGCCATACTTTTTCTTGCTGTAGTTCCCTCTGTTCCGTGCTCTAGGAGAATTCCGCTCTCTTCAGAACCCCGAGGGCCACCTTCCCTTCTCTGTTTTTCTGTTTGCTCCTTTGCTGTGTGCGGTGGTGGGGAGGGAAGGCAGAGGTAGAGTTTTGGCTTGCCCCACAGTGTCACTCATGTGTACAAATGGCGATGACACAGCGATGCAACTGATTAACCGTGATACACGTGGAATTGCTAACGAGTTTGATAAAATTTTAATTACCCTTGTTCTGCAGGGCAGGCAGCAAACCATGAAAATAATAATCCTCTCGGGTGCTGTCACGGCAGTTGGACTAGAGGAAGGCAGGTGTGAGCTGTAGGAAGTTAATAATCATGGGAGTGTGGGAGTGGGGCCTGTGTAGGGGAGGAGGGCAGAGTGGCTACTGTAGAGATTGGCCACTGAATTATCTAGATAATTTCCTCAACTCTCTACTTTGTTCTTATAGACCTGACATTTTCTGGGAGGCAAACTTGCTCTAGGCAGAGGAAGAAACCAAAGCACATGGAGCATCAGGAATTTGCCCATAAGGACACAGAGAATTTCAAATCCAGAGGCCCTAACTTGGGTCCCCAGAGTTAGGACAAACTCGGCGGGACTGTCCGGGGATGTGCTCACACGGTTTGCAGATCTCATTGGACACTGACATCCTAGACCCTCAAGGCTCTTGTGCCCCCTTTCCCACCTTTAGCAGCTTAGGTGAAGGGGGAACAGTGGGGGGATGCAGTGTCCATCCTTGGATACCTTGGTGGTTTTGACTTTGTGTCCGCTGCTGCAGCTCCATCCCGAAAGGTCTGGAAGCACTTTACATTCTTCCCCCGGCAGGCAGGGCTCCATCTGACACCACCACTTCTGCAGGACAATGGAGGCTGTGGGAGCAGGAGGCAGTGAGGCAGCTCTAAGCCCCCTGCAAGTGCAGCATGCAGTCCAGGGGGTCTATGTAGAATGAAGTGCACCTTTGCACACACCCCGGGCTTTGAGCCCTGCATTTTCCCCTTGTCTTTCCCCTACTTGGGCTGCCCAGAGAGGCAGGACTCAGGCTAAGGCCTGAACACACAACCGCATCAACTTCAATCCCAGTGACAGCGACACCTCATCAAAGACAGCACAGGGGGAAGGCAGGGGAAGTCGTCTCTAAGGCAACCCGTGAATTGAGCCACCACATCATTAGCAGAGAGGCACAGTCTTCAACATGCTCCCTAGGTGTACGCGAACAAGTCTGCGAGCTGTTTGGAGGGGTCTACAGACCAAGAGTGCCAAGCAGGCGTGCATGTGAGCACAAGCGGGCATGCTTACAGTGCCACCATGAGCATGAGCAAATGAGCATGGGTGGCGCCGTGGGAAAGGGGGTGGGTATGAAGGCATGCACGTGTGAGCAATACACATGTGTCCATGAGAGAGGAGGGTAAAGTCTGCTGGAGAATGAGAGGAGGGCACGTGTAAGAGGCCTGGGAAGGAGCAGTAGGTGAGGAATTCCATGTCTGGAGAAGTGACAGAGAAGTGAGTGTACGGCAATGAGTCTGACGGGAGGTGTGACAGGATGTGTGTGAGGGAATGCGTCTGTGCATGTGCCAGGCAGTGGGCGTGGATGAGGGAAGGCGAGCGCATACCAGGGCCCTTCCTTATCTGTGAAACGGGGATGGTCACAGCTGCCCTCTCCCCTGCAGAAGTTACCCCATCATTTGAGACTCTGAGCACAGAAGCCCTGGGATGGGTATGAAATTGTATCCCCAGCAGATGGTGAGGCCTAGACGCATCTTCTTATCTCTCTGATCAGGCCCTCCTCCCGGGTCCTGGCCTCTCACTCACCGTCCACACAGGAGGGCTTTGCCCGCGTGGTGCCAGCCACCTGGCCAGAAAAGCAAGAGCATTTCACAGTCTGGGAGCGCTCTTCGATGTGGTTCCGGTTGCAGCAGCGATGAGCAGCAATCACCTCACAGGTGCCCTGCTTCACGAGGACTGAAGGCGCCAGCGCAGGATCAGGTTCCCAGCCCAGGCCTGCAACCCTGCCTGCCTCCCGCCCTCCCTGGATGTTCTCAAACCCCTCCTCCCAGCTTAGGGGAGGGGTGTTTAAGAGATTTTCAATTGCAGGGGAGGAGGAGACAGATGAAATCTCTCTGCCGCTTCACAATGTTCCTGTCCTTCCTTCCTCCCCAGGGAGGCCACACTCATCACCTATTGGCAGAGCCTGGCCCTTGGGCAGAAGAAAGATGGAGTCCCACACCAACCCCCACCTCCCCTGCTTCCTCTGGGTGAGGGCAAGGGCCCCGGGGGCTTACAATGCGTGGGGAGGATCATCCGCTTACACAGGCTTTAGCCATCCCAGAAGGAAAACCACAGAATTAGGCCAGGATGCTAGACTTAAGCCCCCACCCTCAGGCCTCTCTCCCTGCAGAACACCTTCCAGCCTGGAAGGGAAGGTGAGCAATGGGTCTGCCCATGCCTTCTCCAGGCTGGGAGAGCAGAGTGGGCAGAGTTTTCTGGGTGAAGAACAAAAGAGGAGGCAGAACCTTTAGAATCTGTGGATTTCAATCCATCTTGGAGATCTGCCTGCTGTGGAACGGGGCTGGGTGGTGTCCAGCTCTCCAGGCATCCTGGGAAACCCCCTCCCCAGGCCCCACCACCTCCTTCAAACCTGTGGGAGCTGGAGGCTGCAAGGAAGCAGAGGCCAGGAGGGTCCACAGCCAAGCCAAGCAAAGTGCCAGCAGCCAGCCGCCAGTGCTCCAGTTCTGCGCAGCCCTGTCATGCATCCTGCAGAGAGAGTGACACCTGCTAGACTCCAGGCAGGTTTTCCCCCAGTGCCCAGCTCTAGCACCTCTGTGCCAGGCATGCTGGGAGGCACAGAGGTGGCTGGGATGCACACCTTATCCCCAGGCAGTCTCAGCCCGGCACACTCTCTATGGAAAGTGGTGAGGGCCACAGTAGAAAGGGAGCAGGAAGGGAGACTGTCCTGCTGGGAGAAGCATGGAAAGCTTTATGGAGGAAGTGACATTGAAGAAGGGTCTTAAACAACGAACCAGATACGGTCCCATGAAGGGCTGTGACATGAGGTGAACAATAAGGCTGACACCTAGTTTTTGAGCACTTCACAAATATGCTCTTGAAGACTTCCCAACTGAACTACAAAGGAGGATTATGTGTACCCACTTTACAGATGAGCAGACTGATACTCAAAGAGCCTGGACACGACCTAAACAACCATCATAAAGGACTGGCTAAACACACTGTGGAGCATCTGTACAAATGCAGCCCCAACTAGGCAGCTGTAAAAAGGAGGAAAGGCTTCATGTACTGAGGCATGCAACGATGTCCAACAATAACCCACTATTAAGGGGAAAAAAGCAAAGTGCAGGGTGCTGTGCATAAATTGTGTAAAAGGGGAGCCAGCCCCGTGGCCGAGTAGTTAAGTTCGTGTGCTCTGCTTCAGCAACCCGGGGTTTCGCCAGTTCGAATCCTGGGCACGGACATGGCACTGTTCATCAGGCCATGCTGAGGCAGCATCCCACATGCCACAACTAGAAGGACCTACAACTATGTACAGGAGGGCTTTGGGGAGAAAAAGGAAAAATAAAATCTTTAAAAAAAAAATGTGTAAAAGGAAGGGATTATATGTTGCTCAAATATGCATAAGCTAGCTCTGGAAAATATTTAAAAAAAGAACTAATACAATTGATTGCCACCAAGAAGGGGAATGGTTGGCTGGGAGACAGAGGTAGAAGGGAGATTTATTTTTCTCCTTATTGTTCTTTCACTTTTTGGGTTTTGAACCGTGGGCAGGTAATAGCAATTCAATTTAAACAAATTTAAATTTGAAAAGGAAGAAATGAAACAAGGCTAATGGAAGTCAAATGACTTGCCCAAGGCCAGGCAGCACGTGGGTGGCAGAGCCCAGAAGCCTGCTCTAGTCCCACTGCATCACCTTGCTTCTGCTCTCTTCCTCATTCCTTCTACTCCTCCATCGTTGATAGTTTAGGCTTTCCAGATCTGTTGCAGAGGGTGGGCTAGAAATGGAGGGAATCCCAGGAAAGCAGAGCCACAGAGCGGCAGGGAGCTGTCCAGGCATAGAAGGTGCCTGGACCACCCCGTCTGCTGCACTGCTGACCCCTTGGGGCATCGCTGGGCTCCTTCAGGTGCCAGCACAGTGCTGGGAACACCAGAGGCCAAACCAAATGCCAGGACCCTGATGCTCCCCTGGATAGGATGCCGGATCACTCTCCCTCCTTCAACTCTCCCTCTTCAACTGCCTCCTCACTCACCTTTTTTGGGATCTTTCAGCTTCTGTCTGTTCATCCACTGGCCTCAGACTCGCTCTACCTAGACAAGTAGGAAAGATTCTTAAGAGGTTGTATAAAGGACGGAGGGAGCCCATGGTCCTGCAGGGGGTGAACGGGGTCTGGGTGAAGTCAAGCGGGTGTGCTGGGCACTGAAGTAGAACCCAATTGTGAAGCTGTTCCCCAAGATGCCAGGGCAGGGGGCAGAGCCTTCCTCTGCCCTGGGAATTCACAGGGGTCCTTGCAGATTCTGGCAACATGTAGGGTAGGGAACATGAGAAGAGTGGCCTGAGGGAGTCTCTCTGTCCCCAGAGTGAAGCGGGGCTGACGGTAGGAGGTGTCTAAGAATCAACATTCTCACCTCCCTGGCCTTGGGAGGGAGCTGAAGGCCAGGGAAGGGTTCCTGAGCAGAATCTGACAGAACGCTGCTGGAAGAGGCCCCTGAGGTCCTGAATCCTCTCTGCCTCCTCCTCCTCTCCCCGTCGCACCTGCTTCCTGGACTCATATGGAGCTGGCTCAGCTCCGCCGCCTTCGCCCCATTCCCACTCCTGAAGGCTAGAAGGGGGGTCCTCCAGGTCTCTGAGCCTCAGAGGCCACAGCCCCAAGGGCTTCTCCATTTCTCCCTACGACCTCTCCTCCCTCCCTCAGCCTGCAAAGGGAGGTGGAACTGAGGCAGGTAGGATGGTGGGGCCCAGGAAGGACGGGGAGCCCTGTGTCCCAGCTCCCCCAAGTAAGAGCCCAGAGAGGACCATGGGGGCAGATGGAGGAAATGGTGCCAGCACCCCAGGAAAGGGTGTACTCTATGGGCCCTTCTAGATGTACCTCTTTCCTGAGTAGGTGTCTCCTCTCCCTGTCCATATCACAACCTTCATTTTGATACTTACAAACGCAGCTTTGTTTTCTTTCTGGTGGTCCCCATCCCATTTCTCTCTGAGCTGCCACACCCTCCAATCCAGCTCTCTCATCTCTCCTGTGAACCCCAAGACCCAAAAGACTGGGGGTGGCCATTTGAGCTGGGTTCTCTGGCATTCTATTCCCTCCCTCAGAGACAGCTGGAGAAGGAAGCTTCTGGGATTTGTTCTGGGGCTTCCACACTCCTGCCTCAGTTTCCCAGGCCGTTTTCCCCAAACCCCAATCCAGGTTATGTTGAGGCTGACTTAGCAGTCTGCTAGCAGCCTGGGGTTGCGAATGGAATCCACAAGCCCTCTTAACCTTTCCCTACCTTCCCCTCCCCCAAGGCCCACTCCCTCCACGTTCTGAGCCCCCACGCCTGAGACCTACCCGGCCCACGGCGGTGCCACCGGTTCCACCGCCAGCCTGAGGTTCCCCCGGCCTCGAAGCCCGGGACCAAGACTCGGAAAGGCAGACTTCGCGCTGGAGCGGCCAGCTCGGGTGCTGTCTAATCCGGAGCCCTGTCCCCCTTACCAAGTTGCTGTGTCCCCGAGGCAGCGGGGCTCTGGCCAAACCGGGATCATGGTCATGCCTGATCCCGCTCCGGGCCCGTCGGCGCTGCAGAGCTCAGCCGGGGTCCCTCCGAGGCTCGGGCCGGCAGGTGGGGAGCGCTCATCTGCCGCCGCCTCCTTCTCGCCGGGGCCGCCCTCGCTTCACCAGCCCCGCGCGGGCCCCGCCGCCGCCACCCGCGGAGCGCTTGGCCGGCCGGGGGGAGACGCAGCGGCCCCTGGCGGCCGAGGCGAGACGAAGGCAGAGAGACCCGCGGCCCCCGCGGTCCCGCCCGGTTGGACTTCTTCGCGGTGCAGGCTCGGGTAACTCCGTGAGGGCCCTCAAAACTCTCGAGGTCTTGGGGATTCTGGGGACTAGGGGACGAGGGGACGGGGCGGGGGGGGCGGTGCGCTGAGCGCGAGGAGTGATTGCTCAGACCCTCATGGGTTCTGAGCCTTGAAGATTCTAGACTGCACTGTCCAATACTGTAGCCACTAACCGTATGTGGTTAAATTAAAATGTAAATTAAATAAAGTTAAAAAATTAAATGTCTCATTCGCACTCATCACATTTCAAGTGCTCAATAGCCACATGGAGCTAGGGACTACTGTATTGGGCAGAAAAGATATAGAATATTCCAATTATTTGCACAAAATTCTAGTCTACAACGCTCGTCTAGATTGATATGTTAACCCTCCGCTGTTAAAATCGAGGCGGGAATAGCAAGTATCTCTACCCCAGGAGTGGCGTCCTCAGGGACAGGAAGGCCCAGGGGAGGTATGAGGGTAGAGGCGGGCAGGCAGGAGGGCTACCATAGGCTTGTGAGTGGTCCCTATGAATGGTGGGTGTGACCCCCAGCTTAGGAACCAAACTCTGAGACCCACTTTTTAATCAAAAAAAATGCCACATAATTGCAATTTTATAATTCTTTTACAGGGTAAGATTTTAGATGTGACAGTATTAGACAAATGGGAGAAGGAGGTGGTCTGTGAATTTGTCTCAAAGTGAGGGACATTCCGTATGGTTTAAGAGGGCTTTGTAGTTGGAGTAATGGGGAGGAGAGAGGCAATGGGAAGAAGCCCGTTTCTGGGCCCTGAGCCACTGCGTGTGGCCGGGGATAAGGGGACCCGTCTTGAGGATGCCCAATCCCCAGTTCTAGCTGAGGCCTTATGCCCCCCCCCCCGCAGGGCCAGCCAGAGCAGAGAGTCTCAGTTCTGAGCAGAGCATCTCACAAGTCTGCTTCTTCCCACCCTGCCTCCTTCTCCCTCTTCCTCTCTGCTGCCTCAGGGACAAGTAGAGGTGTCGATCTTCCCGCCAGGTTCTGGGGCAGTCTGAGGATGGAGGAGGTGTGACGATGCCAGGAATAGGAGGTGAGAGTTTCAGGGAGAGGAGAGCCTTAGGATTTGGGTATGGTCAGGGGGCTGTTCTGGAGCCCAAGGGAGCCGATGACGTCCCTGCTGACCATCTGGTGCTGGAGCCAGGGGGTATCTGGGTCCTGGCTCTGTGGCCCACTTGCAGCCACACCCTGGTGTGTGCTTTGAAGAGCTGGGCTTAGGGAGCTGGGTGACACGGCAAAGTGGTAAGTAAATTGTCCCAGAAACACTGAATAATAAAAATAGCCAGGATGTTATATTTTTTTCTTCAATCTTTGCCTTTGTTTATGCCATTTATCTTAGAGCTGGCTCCAGTTTTTCTCAAACAGGAGGGAAATACTCATAGCACAGCATGTTCTTTGTCCCCCGGTCTGCCTGTATGTGCCTTAGGGTCTGATTTTTTTTCTCATGACTTCTTTTTCTCTGGCTGTCTCTGTTCAGAGTGCAGGCATAATTATAACAAGTCTACAAACCTGAATGACTATTGAGATTTTCATGTGGAAGCTGCCAGGAAAGCCACCCGTTCTAGGGGCACAGTTTAGCCCAGGGAACGGAGAGGGTTATGATCAGGCAGCACTCTGCCAGCGGAGCTCAGAGGTAGAGTCCCAACCCTCAGCTGGGTGCCAGGGGTCCCTGAGGGCTACCCCTGACTTGCATTAGGACCACAAGGGCCTTGTCCCCATCTGGACCATGCATGGGGTAGGAGGTTCCTCTGGAGGCCTAGTGATCAATTCCCTGACACCAGGTTTAGGTACGGACCTCTTCCACCATAAGTACCATCCTCCCCGCAGGCAGGCGCTTAGCTTGGCCTTTGTCTCCCCCTGGCGGCAGCCACAGAGATTGTTCAGCATCCTGGGACTGCCCTCAGCCTCGGCCTCAAGAGGAGGAGGAGGGTGGGAGAGAAGGCACCCCCCACCCCTTCTCTCTGCCATTCACCTCCTTAACCCTTCCTCTGTCAGACCCACAGATCAGCTTGGTTCTTAACACAGAATCAAGTTGGCTGTCCAGGGAGTGACAGTGAATCCCTGTGAGGGAATGTGAATCCCTCACTGGCTGTGTGACCTCTTGAGGCAAGTCATGTAAAATGAAAGGAGTTCCAGTACTGCCTTATCAGTAAAAAGAACATAATAAAACCCACTTGAGGGGTTGGTGTGAGGTATACATGGCCTAATACATGGAAAGTGCTTTGTAGAGGGCCTATGATGTAGTAAGTCCTCAACAAACGGTAGTAGTTGTTGTTATTGTTATCCTTACTAACTAGTCCTGCTGGGGTCAGGTAAGGTCCAAATGTGGGGGGAGATTGGCTCCTGAGAAAGAAAGTGGAGTCGAACTGGTAACCGCTCTCCCACATCTAGAGGTGGTCTTCACCGGGAACACCGCCGACAGGGGCCCAGGACCTTACCTCCGCTCCCTAATTCAGGGTGGTGGCTCCAGCCTGGGTTGTTACAACTCCCATCCCCCGCACTCCCGCACCCAGCACCAGCTCGCTCGCCCTCACTCTCTCTCCAGCAGCCCCAGCCAGAGGTGTGGTCACACCAGGTGCTTCACACTCAGCGGTCGCCGAGGCGGCTGGTTTCGCTGTGAGGTCATCAGCTCCATCACCCTCTGGGTGGGCTGGCCACAACGAACCGAGGGGCGAGGGGACACCACCCTCCCGTCACAATGGGGAAGTTCTAGCTGATTCTAATCCAGAGCACGACTGAAATAGGGTTTCCTTCTCTCCGTCCCCTTCCAACAACAGCAGACCCTTCTTCCCCAAAGAAGCTGAGGCAGGGCGAAGCCGGAACGGGGCGGGGAAGAGGCCGCGAGCCGGCTGGGCGGCTCCTGGGGTGGCCCGAAGTGGGAGGAAGTTTTGCCGGGGACCGGCCCTGCCCGGCGCGAGCCAATGGCAGCGGAGAACCGGCAGGACCGAGCACCGCCCACCGCCGGCCCTAGGGGGCGGGGCCTGCCTAGGGGCGGGGCCACGGCCGAGGGCGGGGCAGGGAGGCAGCATGCTAAACCGGGTGCGCTCGGCCGTGGCGCACCTGGTGAGCTCCGGGGGCGCCCCGCCTCCGCGCCCCAAGTCGCCGGACCTACCCAACGCGACCTCCGCGCTGCCCGCCGCCCCTCCAGAAAAGCCCAGGAGCCCTCCGGCAAGGAGTAGGGGCGGGAGCGCGGCGCCCGCGAAGACAGTAGAGGCTCGAGCGAGCTTCTCCAGACCGACCTTTCTGCAGCTGAGCCCAGGGGGGCTGCGACGCGCCGACGACCACGCTGGCCGGGCTGTGCAAAGCCCTCCGGACACTGGCCGTCGCCTGCCCTGGAGCACAGGCTACGCCGAGTGAGCGCCCCCAGGGGCTCCCTAACTGGGGTGGCAACCTCACCCCTACCCCCTCCCCACCTCAGCATCTCGAGCCCTGGGATGCGTTCCCCTCGCCGCGCTCCGTGCCAGGAGTTTCGTTTTCCCAGGACCTTTGCAGTCCTCTGGGCTTTGAGCCGCACTCCCTCCCAGCCCTTTCTCAAGTCGGGTGCAGCCTTCCTCAGGACCTTCCAGCTCGTTGACTACCCTCATCCGCGCCGCCTCGGGACCTTCTTCCCTCCCGGAGCCCGAGGGTGGAGGGCCAGAGAAGGATGAGTTGGCCAGTTCTCGGTCTTGGCCCTGTCGTTTAATGGCTAAGGGAGGAGGGGTTTCAAGGAGCTGGGGGTCCCTTTTAATAGGGCAGATGGCGGCTAGGAAGACTCGCTCCTGGACTTCCCGACCCCAGCGCCCCAGTTCCCTGTTCCTCTTACCGTTCCCCTCCCCCTCCACACCCAGAAATAGCCCGCGACACCAGGCGGCCGCAGTCTTCCCCAGGGACGGGGGAGGGGGCCGCCCGGGGAAGCGGGAGGGTCCCCTTTGAGCGCCCCTCGGCGGGTGAACTTGCGCTGGCCAGGCGAGGAAGTGGATCCCCGGCCCGGAGCGGTCGGAGTGGCGGGAGCAGCCGGCTTGCTACCAGACTGCGTGTATTTTTAATGCATCTGCTGGGAAAGCGGAGCACTGAGAGAGATGGGGCCTCTGAGGTCGCTGAGGGTGGTGGCTGGTGGGCCCGTGGCCCCACAAGCAGCTCTTTTAGCGTCCTATTTGGGAAGAATTGGTGGTTATGTGGCCGCTGCGCAGTCCAGGTGGGCTTCCTCCCCTACCCTATTTCAATTCCTCTTTCCCGATGTGGGCTGGAACACTTCCTCATTGCCAAAGCAGCAAAAACTTTCACTGAATGGTTTTAGGATAAGGGTGGTCATGCCCATGAGGGTGGGGTGCTGTGGACAAGGTACTAGAAGAGTTCTCTGGGGTTCAGGGTGGGGTGTAGGGTCTTGGTAAAAGGAAGTAAAACCTCTTGCCCCCTATGCAGACCCTCCCCCAGCAGTATCCTTAGAGATGCCCCCCTTTGCCTGGGATGGGGGAACTGAGGCAGGCAGGTGCTGCTGCTCGTCTTTCTAGGAGACGGTAGGGCCTGCCACCCAGACAGTACTCCTTGTGCCTTGCCCTGCCTCCCTTCTCTTCCTCCCTCTGGCCTGGATCCCAGGTGGCTGTGACCTTTCTCAACTTGGCCAGCAGGCCAGAGAGGGTGTGTGTGTCTAAGGTGGGGGTTATTCCAGGACCTGGTCTGGTGTCCAACCTGATGTGGTCACTCTGGCCTGGCAGGGTCATCAACGCTGGCAAGAGCCGGCACAATGAGGACCAGGCTTGCTGTGAAGTGGTGTATGTGGAAGGTCGGAGGAGTGTTTCCGGGGCACCGAGGGAGCCTAGCCGAGGCCAGGTAAGCCCCCACCCCTTTTCCTAGCCTCCAGACACACAGTGACACTTCCTCAGGGATTCCAGGCATCTAGTTTTCAATCTGAGACATGTGGAAGACATACCTCCTAATTCACTGACTTTCCATCTTCTGGAATAGAACTTTTATCTGGCATTGATCAGTTATCTTCTACCATGTCCGTATGAATGTTTAGTTTTCCACTTAAACTATAGATGCGTATGAATTTATGGATGTTTTAATTAATTACCAATACTTATTCTTATCTTTTATCCTCTGAGTTTGGTTTTTTGATGCTTTCCTTTCTCTGACACATAGTAGGCCTTTGGTGAATAAGTGAATAAATCTAATTTGCCTTTACTACCAGGCTCTGACCTCCTCTCTGATGTTTATAAGGATGTCCAGAGTCTTGCTCTTCTCCTGCATTACACATACACACACTCACAAACACACTCATCTCCAGCTTTTCCTCCACCAGGGACTCTGCTTCTACTACTGGGGCCTGTTTGATGGGCATGCAGGGGGCGGAGCTGCTGAAATGGCCTCCCGGCTTCTGCATCGCCACATTCGGGAGCAGCTAAAGGACCTGGTAGAAATACTCCAGGACCCCTCGCCACCTCCGCTCTGCCTCCCGTCCACCCCAGGGGCCCCCATTTCCTCTGATTCCTCTCACTTGGTTGGTCCTCAGTCCTGCTGGTCTTCGCAGAAGGAAGTGACCCATGAAAGCCTGGTAGTAGGAGCCATTGAGAATGCCTTCCAGCTCATGGTGAGTGGACAGTCTGGGCCAAGGGCCTGCTAAGCAGACACTCTGGTCAACTCTGTATGGGAGTCGGGTGGCCTGAGGGGGTGACCCCGGGGAATTCACAACACCTTTGAGAGCCTGAGCGGAGCCTAGTTCAGAGGGCAGGAGAAGGGGAAGTTATACCCATGTCTTCCCTCCTCTCTTTCAGTGTGGCTTGGCTGGGCCAGTTTATTTCTGCAGATGGAGGGTGGGTGGCTGTGTGCCTGGAACCTCCTCTTCATCCACCCCCTTTGACCCTTCCTCACGTGGCAGGATGAGCAGATGGCCCGGGAGCGGCGTGGCCACCAAGTGGAGGGGGGCTGCTGTGCACTGGTTGTGGTCTACTTGCTAGGCAAAGTGTATGTGGCCAATGCAGGTGACAGCAGGTATGGAGGGGGGACTTTGAAAATGGCTACAGGGGTCATACTCTCTGGGATGGGAGAATAGAAGAGAGTGAGGTGGCAGGTGCTAAAAATCATATTGGAGCGGGTCAGCAGGGATCACAGACATAGGGAAAGGCCTGAAATATCCACAAGGGGAGAAAATATAGGGGTCTGGGTGAGGGATCCTAAGGGTCATTATGGAGAGGGCCTAGTCTTTCTGGAATTCTCCATGAGGGGGCTGAGGAAAGCCAAGCCCAAACCTTTTCTTTTTCTGGGCAGAGCCATCATTGTCCGGAATGGTGAAATCATCCCAATGTCCCGGGAGTTCACCCCGGAGACTGAGCGCCAGCGTCTTCAGCTGCTTGTAAGTAGGAACCAACTCTCTACTCCCGTTCTCTGTTGAGTCTTTTACCTCTCTGTACCCTATGTCCCCAAGAACTCTCAAACTCCCACCACACAGACAGCTCCTTACTGGGAGCTTACTGGGAAGGCCGCTCTGCAAACTATGGAGGGCTGAGCTGGTGGAGGGTGCAGCAGGAAGTTCGTGGGCTGCTCCAGGGCTCCCACTGTGGCCCCAAGTGAGGAAGGAAGTGGACTCAGAGGATGGGGAAGGAAACAGCAAAGGCCCCTGAGAGGCAGTACAGCTTAGTGTTTTAAAGCACTGGCTCTGGAGCTCGACTGCTGGGGATTGAATCTGGGTTCAAGTACTTTGCTAATTGTGTGACCTTTGATAGTTCCCTTAATTTGCATCAATAGTTCCTGCTTTAGGGTTGTTGTGAGGATTAAATGAATTAATATATGTTAATATTAGAACAGTGCATGGCACATAGTAAACTCCTTTTAAGGGTCTGCTGTGATTAACATCATCTCTACACCAAGGTGTGCTGTAAGCCTAATGCCCCCCTGGCCCTTCTGCTCTCTCTGCCCACTCCCAACCCCAGGGCTTCCTGAAACCAGAGCTGCTGGGTGGTGAATTCACCCACCTTGAGTTTCCCCGCAGAGTTCAGCCCAAGGAGCTGGGGCAGAGGATGCTGTACAGGGACCAGAACATGACCGGCTGGTAACACTTCCCTCAGAGCTGGGGCCCGTTCCCATGGCAACACAACCAATCCCTCACCAGCAGCAAGGTGGAAGCCAGAGGCTGGACTAGGCTGGGAGCTGGGGGGATGTGGCCCTTCTAAGGGGTTTGTGTGAGGGGAGTGGCTCCTAGGGGAGAGGGGCTTTGATGCCTAGGTGATGCCTCTTCTACTCCCCCCTCCCAGGGCCTACAAAAAGATCGAGCTGGAGGATCTCAGGTTTCCTCTGGTCTGTGGGGAGGGCAAAAAGGTAAACTCCATGGTAGAGGTGGGAGAGGGCAAGAGGACCCACCACAACTTCTCTAGGGAGGTGGAGGTTCTACCTGAGGGTAGGGTTGGGAGGGGTCCTCAGTTCCAGAGAGTCGGGGAGAGGGCTATAGCAGCACCCCCTCCTCATTTCCTCTAGGCTCGAGTGATGGCCACCATCGGGGTGACCCGGGGCTTGGGAGACCACAACCTCAAGGTCTGCAGTTCCACCCTGCCCATCAAGCCCTTCCTCTCCTGCTTCCCTGAGGTGAGCCCTACGGGGGCCCCGAACCACACCTTCCCTCCTCTGGGGGTCTCAGGCTGGCTTTCCCCCCAGGTCCCTTTATCCCCGTGGTCCCTCTCCATCCTCTTGCCTATCAGGTGCGAGTGTATGACCTGACGCAGTATGAGCATTGCCCAGACGACGTGCTAGTCCTGGGAACAGATGGACTGTGGGATGTCACTAGTGACTGTGAGGTAGCCACCACGGTGGACAAGGTCCTGTCGGCCTATGAGCCCAATGACCCCAGCAGGTATGGGTTGTATGGCAGCAAGGGGATAACAGTGGGGAAGGAAGGGGTGGGGCAAGGGAAGCAATGCTCGGGGACCCACATCAGGGCCTGTGTGTCTATCTTCCTATATACATGTTGGTACATGAATGTGCACATATGCTCCTGGCAGGTACACAGCTCTGGCCCAAGCTCTGGTCCTGGGGGCCCGGGGCACCCCCCGGGATCGTGGCTGGCGTCTCCCCAACAACAAGCTGGGTTCCGGGGATGACATCTCAGTCTTCGTCATCCCCCTGGGAGGGCCAGGCAGTTACTCCTGAGGGGCTCAGCCCTGACCCTCCTATCACCGTGCCAGCCTCTCCATGTTTACCCCTCTTCCAGTGCAAATTCTGAAGTTGTCTCCCTGACCTTCTTTAGCGGCAAATTAACTGAAGAAGGGGTGTCAGTTAGATCCAAAATTATAGCTATTGGTAAATAAATCAGATGGATAAAGGTCTGTGTCTTCCTTTATTTTGACTTGAAACCAAAAGGTAAGGAAAAGCTCTTTGGGGTAGTGGAAAGAACAGCAGAAAAGTCCTGAAAATGTAGTGTTCCCAGGTTCTTTCTTCCACCCTCTGCCCTTCCGACTCCACACACACTCATCCACTTCTGTGGCTTCACTCCACCTGCTGGTGTTTTCCAAATCAGGGTGTCTAGCCCAGATCTTTCCTGAGCTTTAGACCCACATATCCCAGTCATCTCCCAAACATCTCCTAGACATCCCACAGGCACTTCAGCTCAACATACCTCAAACTGAATTCATCATTTGCCTCACAAACATGTTCCTTTTCCTGGTTCATCATCTCGCTGGGCACCAGCTCAGCTGCTTTAGAAATCTTGGAGTTGTTCACCTTTGGCTTCCATCTCTTCCTCATCAAGCTAATCAGTCACTAAGTATTGTTGATTATATATTTAAAAATATATTGCATATTTGTCCGCATATCTCCACCTCCACTGTCATTACCTTAGTTCTTTACTACAGCAGCCTCCTAACTCATCTCCCGGCTCTGTCTCCAGGCCACCCCCCTGCGTCCCCCAATATGCCAGGGACACAGCAGTTGGGGTGACCTTTCCACAGTGTGAATCTGAGTTGGTTATTTCCCTGAGAGAACATTACAGTGGCTCCTTACTACACCTACACCAAAATCGACACTCAACTCTTGAGCATGGCATATAAGGACCTTCATGATCTGGCCACTGCTTCCTTCTCCCACCCCCTCTTTCACCACCACCACCACCTTCCTGGGGTTTCGGTAACTCTGTGGGCCTCTAGTAGCTCCAACTCATTTAAAGTCTACTGATCAGCTTATCTTGAACACTTCACCTGCCTTCCATGACTGGGTATCCCACAGCCCACAGGCCCCACTACAGCAACTGCCTCCTGTATTATGACTATCTATGTGAGGAGTTGGTGGGAGCAGCATCTAAGAGCAGGGGCTCCAGAGTCCTGCTGTCTGGGTTCTGGTGCCAGACTCAACACTAGCTCTGTAACCTCCCTGAGCCTCAATTTGCTTCAGTAAAGTGGAGATAACTAACAGGACTACCTATAAGGTTGCTGTAAGCTCTAAAGTAATTCATGTGTGTAGAGCCAAGTCCAGGTATTAAGGGTTCGGTAACTGTCAGCTAGCTTTAAGATATCTGTATTCCGAATTTAGGCTAAGTTCTTTGAAGGCAAAAATCGATCTGAACTGAGCACACAGCTCTCAGTTCACACTCAATAAATGTTTTTTTTTTTTAAAAGATTTTATTTTATTTTCTTCCTTTTTCCTCCCCATAAGCCCCCTGGTACATAGTTATGCATTTTTAGTTGTGGATCCTTCTAGTTGTGGCATGTGGGACGCCACCTCAGCATGGCTTCATGAGCGGTGCCATGTCCACGCCCAGGATCTGAACCTGTGAAACCCTGGGCTGCCAAAGCAGAGCGCGCAAACTTAACCACTCGGCCACGGGGCTGGCCTCTTGATAAATGTTAACTGAGCAAGTTAAGGGGCCTGGGGACCAGACTGCTCTAGACCTGTTTCCTCATTTATCAAACGTGTGGGTTGCACTTCATATCTTTAAAGTATGACTTCTACGACTTCTAACATTCATTCATTCAGAGGGTAATTGTTGAAAAGTGATTATGTGCCATCCCCTGTGTTAGGTGGTGGGAAGAGCCAGGCCGGAGGAGCACGGGGGCCAGCAGGAGGGATCACTGCCGTTAGAGCCAGACAGGCTTGACTGTGTGAATTCTTACTCTGTCACAAATTGCCAAAATTTGGGCAAGCCACTTAACTTCTCTGAGCCTCAATTTTCTTACAGGCAAAAGGGGATGGGTATACTAAACCCAAACATCTAAGGGCTGAGCTATACAGTGTACGGAGCTAGCAAGCTGTTGGGAGACTTCCTCATCCTCTATCCTCCACCTCAGCCCCCTCACAGGGAAGGAGAGACACTTGTAGGTGAATACCCAATGGGACACATCAGACCAGGCTGTGTCTCTAGCAGCTGAGAAACAATACAGTGGGGGTGGGAACTGAATTCCCAGCTGGGGATATGGAAGGATTTCCAAGAGTGCCCTTTGAGGGCTACGTAGGAATTGGCTCATGGAATTTCCAGGCAGGGGGAAGGAAGGGGATTGTGAGGTGGAACCATGGCATGGGCCTCATAGGTTCCGAAAGGTCTTCAAGACGCGGGGATGACGTTCAGCTGTACTTACTCTTATTCTAGGAGCAGAGGGTGGGCATGTTCCGCAGGCCCCTCCCCGGGCGTCCCGGAGGCCGCCCTTTCCCAATCCCGCCTCCCGCGAAGTCCCAGGTGTTGTAGGCGCGGGTGGCCGGTTGGCCACCGGAGGGCAGCAGCGGCCCTCTCCTGACCCCACCCCGAGCGCCTTCAACTTTCCCGACGCCGGTCCGCCCCTTGGGGCTGGAAGGCGGGGCAGAGGCACAGTCCTCGGGGGTCGCCCCCGCTCCCCGGCCTCGCCTCGCCGCCCATCCTCCACAGTCCAGGCATCTCTGCTGACCCCAGGGGTCAGCCCCGCAGGTTCCACGGCAGGCGGCGGGAACAGCCCGCGGCAGCCCCGGGCTGGGGCGGTGGGCGGGCGGAGCCAAGGCCCGCCCCCGGGCGGCCCTCCCCGCGGACCCGCCCCTCTCCTCCCCTCCCTGCCGCCGCGCCGAAGGAGGGCGGGGCGGGCCCCTCGGGTCAATCTCAGCCTCCGGCACCGGCCGCGCAGCTGGAGGCGGCCGAGCGGAAGGTACCCTGGGCCGGGGGTTGGTGGCAGCGGGCGTCCCGGGACCTCGTCCCCGGGCCAGCACTTTCCCCTTCTCTGCTGAGCGGGAGCCCGGGGCGCCGGCCGGGGAGGGGGCTTTGGCCAAAGCGCGGGCCGTCCTCCCTCCTCCCGGATGCCGGTGTCTGGCCTGTGCGGGGTCGGGCTGGCTGGGCCCCTCCCTGGGCTGCAGTGGGGCACCCCCGGGAACTCCCCGCAGGGCCTCTCGCCTCTTGGTGTCCGAGCCGGAGTTCCTTCCCTTCCCCTCCCGGCTTCCCGGAACCTGCCCCGCCGGCGAGGGGTGAGGGGCGAGGGGGCAACTTGGGTCTCCGCGACGGAGTCCCAGCCTAGCTCCCAGGCCGGGCGGCCCGAGGTGGACCTCGGTGGGGTGTGGGTCTGGGCCCCAGTCCGACTGTAGGTGGGAATTCCCCCGGGCCAGGCCGGTGGAATGGCGGGAATAGGGGCGGGGTGTGACCATTGGGGGCTGCCACCGCTCGGCGGGATCTGGACGCCGCCCTAGACGGTTCCTGGAGCCTGCCTGGGGTGGGAGGTAGGGGGGACTGGGGAGGATCCAGCTCCTCCGTTCATGTGTGTCCTCCCAGCCCTCTCCGTCACACTCCCCAACCTGGCTAAAGATTATCCTAGGGGTTTGGGCTGGCGCACCCGACGCTGAGTCCTGCCCTAACTTGTGGTTTTCAAGTTGAAGGGAAAGTATCTGATTCCTTCCCTAGACCCTAGGGGTGGTGGGCAAGGTACAGTGGACCCCTGGGTCATCTGGAAATCTAGAGAATGATTGAGGAAAGGGTGGCTGTCTTGTCTCAGGGAAGTGTCTTATCTCTGGGAAGGCCCCCGGAGTTCCAGGCTCCATTCCAGGCCCTGTGTGGGGTTTCGTTGCCCCTCTTAGGGTCAGTGGGGCAGTTCCTCTGAGGCTGTTTCTCGCAGGGAGCTGTTGTGCTTGCCATCTTGGCCTTGGGCCTAGTGGCCGGGCCTGGCCTGGCCTGGCCTGGGGTAGCTTCTCCTCTGGCTCAACCAGAGCCTGAAGGGAAAGTCTTCTAATTGAGCTGGGGGGCTCCAGGTCACTGAATGCATGCCCTTGCCCCTGAGTTCTGGCCTGTGCCTCGCACGGTCTGGTGCCACCTAAACTGCCCTGCTGGGGGAGAGCAGTGGCATGAGCATACCTAAGCAACTGGTATTCATCCTCCACCGACACTGCCTGTCCCAGGTTGGGGCTCTCCCCACCTGTTTTCACACAGCTAGACCAGTGGAACTGGTGGGAGTGGGTGGGGGGAGTTGGTCACCTGGGTAGGATTTCCAGGGATCCCCTTTTTGAAGGATGGTTTCCATTTTCGGAAGGGACCTGCTGGCATGGTGAATGTCTTCTTGCTTGTTTTTTGGGGTATCGGGGAGAGTCCCTTTTGTGGTGGGGAGAGTGTGGCTGTGTACTCTCAACTCCTATAAATTCTCTCTGACTCATATCCACTTCCCCTCATCCCAGTTTTCTGTGTGTGTGTGTGCACTTGTGTGTAGGGGAGGGAAGCCACCCAGGATCCCACTGTTGAAGAGAGCTAGCCTTAGGCTGGAGTATTCACTTCCTAAAAGGCAGATGGAGGCAGGGGTGAGGTAGTGGTGGTATGTGGGGAGTAAAGGAGTTCAGCCCAGTTTGACAGGATGTGGGACTGAGAGAAAAAGCCAGGGTTGGGGCAGAGATCGGGTTACCATCCCTTTCTTTCTTAAGTACTCCCTGTCTGGTTGGTGCTGGAACTGGCCCTCATTTGTCTCTTTTTTGGGGCTCCTCCCAGCTCAGGCTCTAGCCCCCTCCCCCTTCCCAACAGCCTCGACTTCATCTCCGCTCCAGAGCCCGCCCTCTCTTCCTCCCCAGCCGGCCGTGGGCCTGGGAACTTCAACCGACTGGAGGTCAGCTCCTCTCCCCAGGGAAGGAGGAAGTGAGGCTCAGCTTAGGGGCAGGGAAGCTGGGAAGGTGTGATGAACTGTGCAGATGCTCATTCCTGAGTGTTGGGGGCGGGGGACACATGGAAACCCCGGGAAGCTGACTCCTTGCCCTGAGTCACGGGGAGGGGTGGGCAGGGCCTTGGGGTGAGCTGGACAGAGGGGAGGAAGGGAGTGGGTGGAGGTGTTTCCCTAGTGGATTATTCTCAGTCACTCTGCTGTGGTGGATGAGTGGCTCCCTACAGTGTGGTCATTGTCCCCTGCCTCGGGCTGAGTGACCCAGTGTTGCTGCCAGGCCCAGGAGGAAGGGGGGAGGAAGGCAGGCTGCCCGAATGTGGGCTGTGGGCACTGCTGGGACTGAGCCTCCTTTGTGTCACTCGGGGCTTTGGGGACCAGTTTTGGGTGGGCCAGAGAAGCCGGCTGGCTGCTGCCACTGCCCTCTGTCTGGGATTCCCTCCCTCTGCTCTCCGTCCCACCTCTGGGGTGATATGTAGAAAAGGCAACAGACTTTCGAGTCACACAGCCCTGCTTTGAGTGCTGTCCCTGCCACGACTCTGAGCATGTCTTAACCTCACTGTGCCTCACTCTCCTAGTTTCTCAAAATGGGAAGCGCACCATCTCTCTTCCAGGCTTCTGGGGACAGCGAGAGATGATTTTTGTCAAAATGCCCAACACAGTGCCTGGCACCTAGTGCCTGGATAACTATTCTTTTCCTTACCCGCCACTCTCATAGCTGGGTCTGCTAGCTGTGGTCTTGGAGAGGGACTCCTCATTTGTGACTGGGCAGGCATGACTAGTGTCGAGGGAGGGACAGTGTGTTCTAGATTGGACCTCAGCCATTATTAAAGTTTAAAAGTATCAAATTCCTGGTAACAAATGAAGTCTGACTTGAAACCCTGATATGGACAGTTAGGTGCCACATAATGATGTTTTGGTTGATAGCGGACCACATATATGACGGTGGTCCCATGAGATTAGTACCACGTAGCCCAGGTGTGTAGGAGGCTGTGTCATCTAGGTACACACCAGCTAGAGTGTGAGTACACTCTGATGCTTGCCCAACGACGAAATCGCCTGACGACGCATTTCTCAGAATGCATCCCCTTGTTAAGTGACGCATGGCTGTATAGCAGATAAAAGCTGACTCTTCTGGACTTGTCCCTGATCCCTGAGCACCCCTCTGGGTGTCCAGGGTCCCACAGTTGGTGGGTAGGTTGGATAAGAACTCATGTTTTCTTGGCTCCCAGGTGGGTGGTTCTTCCACCTCCCACTTCTGTATTCTGACCTGTTGGGGAGACCTGTCCCTGACCCCGAGATTAGGAATTTCAAGCTTAGTTGCCTGAACAGTTGGTTCTTGGCCAGAACATGCCTGAACAGGTCCCTTTTGCCTCCCTTCCCTCCTTTGCTGGATGCCTCAGTTTCCAGGGAGGTCTTGGGGGCCGCAGAGGTGTTTTTGGATTTGTTGGCTTTTCCCAAAATGTCCATTGCCTTTTCCCTGCCAGCCCCAGCCATGGCTGCGATCCGAAAGAAGCTGGTGATTGTGGGGGATGGGGCCTGTGGGAAGACTTGCCTCCTCATCGTCTTCAGCAAGGATCAGTTCCCAGAGGTCTACGTCCCTACTGTCTTTGAGAACTACATCGCAGACATAGAGGTGGACGGCAAGCAGGTGAGGCGAAGAGCCCCTTCCTGTCTCACCTTGGGACCCCGCCCCTGCCACTTCTGGACCGGGCATGTCCTTCCTCATCACCTACCCAGTGCTTGCTCCACTCTCCCTGCTGGAACCAGTACAAGTTAGGAAGTGGAACTGCAGTCTTGGGACATCTAGATACACCTGGCTCTCTACACACTGGCTCTGTAATCTGGGCCCAGCCCCCTTGCCTCTGAGCTTAAGCGCCTTGACTGCAAAGTAGGGACAATGAAGGAGAGTAAGGCCTCCTTCAAAGGTTTTTCTGAGAATTAAGTAAAACAGTGGTACTCACAATGACAACGGTGCCATCGCAGACTTTGCCATTGCACAAACTGCACAAAGATCAAGCACTGATGTCTCAGTATTTTAAACAACTCACGTAATTTATGTCGTGTGACAGTCATTAGCACTATCCCTGGCACGTAGAGGGTGCTCAATAGATGTCCAGTAAGCCTGAAGGGCCAGTGGTTTGAGCTGGGTGGGAGGCTGGGGGTGTAACTGGGGCCCTCAGACCGCTGCTCGCTGGCCCTGTGTCAGGTGGAGCTGGCTTTGTGGGACACAGCAGGGCAGGAAGACTATGATCGCCTGCGGCCTCTCTCCTACCCAGACACGGACGTCATCCTCATGTGCTTCTCCATTGACAGCCCCGACAGCCTGGGTGAGGTGGGGCTGAAGGCACTGGAGGGAGGGAATCGAGAACCCCTTGGGATCAACCAACCAGAGGTATCTCTTGCCTTGGCTCATTTCAGCCGTCCTCAGAGGCGAAGGCTGTGTGGGAGCAGGGAGGGGGCTGTCAGCCTCCTTCACTGCAACTCTGGCCCTTGGGAAGGCTCAGAGGGTACTGTGGGGGGGTGAGGTATTGAGCTGTGAAAGGGACTTTCATGCTGAATAGCCTCTAAGACTGCTAGGGGGAGACAAGGTGGCCCCCCTTCCCTCAGGAGCTTTCTAGCTTGAGAGGAGGGACCAACGTCTTTTCGGACACATCTCTGCAGAGAACATTCCTGAGAAATGGACCCCGGAGGTGAAGCACTTCTGCCCCAATGTGCCCATCATCCTAGTGGGGAATAAGAAGGACCTGAGGCAAGATGAGCATACCAGGAGAGAGCTGGCCAAGATGAAGCAGGTGGGTGGGGCTGCCAGGCCAGGAGCCCTGGTGGGAAAGTGTTCTCTGAGGGGTTGTAGGCTGGGAAAGGGAGCCCGCTCTCTGGCTGACTGCCCTGTGCTAGGGGGCATGGTGGTATCCACCTCCTACTCCTTGTAGTCTGCACCCTGGTGAGGAAGAGCCAGAAGGGCCCTAGTGCCTGACCCAGTATCTGATGCAGTTGTCACAGAGTGATTTGTCTAAGGCCACTGGCATTCTAATTTATTCATCTCTTGTCCATTCTGTTTGGACTTGGGGCTGTTCAGTCAGATGAGGAAGTCCCTTTCCTCAGGGAGACAGCTTCTCATCAGATGGTTCCCTTGGGGTGTGCAGGGCACGCCCTCCCAGCACACCTGGGGAGGTGTGGCCTGAAGAGCATGTGGGAGGGCGGGCATTATTTTAAGTGGCTGGGAGAAAGGCCCAGAGGGAGGGAGATGGCTTATTTGGGCACCTGGTACATGGGTCTCTAACCAGAAGATGAGTGTTTATTAGAGAAAGCTGCCAGGATAAGGAATATAGACGATCCTGCGAGGACAGTCATGGCAAGGTTTTAAACTGGGCACAGACACAGTCAGGTTTGCTTGTTAAAATTATTCTGGCAGCCACAGAAGATGGATTGGGAAGGAGAATGGAGGTGGGGGGGGGTCGGTTAGGAGATGCCAGATCCTCATTCAGGCACGAGAACGGCACACTGTTTGGTATAGGGCTGCTGGAGAGAATTTTCAATGTAACTGACTCTTGAGTGCCTGGCCCTAAAGCCGCCCAGGGTGGCTAGGGTTTGGGTGCTTTGTGCAGTCAGGGCTGGAGGAGATATTTTAGTTACACTTATAGTTGAGGTGGTCAGAGGTGCACCTAGCTACCAGCTTCCTTTTTGACCTCTCACCTTCCGTCTTCCCAGGAGCCGGTTCGATCCGAGGAAGGCCGGGACATGGCGAACCGGATCAGTGCCTTTGGCTACCTCGAGTGCTCAGCCAAGACCAAGGAGGGGGTGCGGGAGGTATTCGAGATGGCCACTAGGGCTGGCCTCCAGGTCCGCAAGAATAAGCGCCGGAGGGGATGTCCCATCCTCTGAGATGCCCAAGGCTTCCCCTACTTCCCCGCTCTCTTCACAGGGGTACAGAAACTACCCACCCCCCAGCCCCATCATCTTAGGGCTCCATGCCCAAGGTTCCCTTCTTCAGTTCCTCCAGCCCCAGGACTGCATTGATTTCCGGTGGTGTAGACTGCCCTCCCTCCCAGCTCTGGGAACCTACGGCTATGCCCTGTCCTTCCAGAGTAGAGTCCTTCCTCCTGCTGCCTCAGTCCACGGGTGGGGCTTCTGATCCCTGATCCCTTTGGCCTTCCCCAGAGGATCATCACACACCAGCACTTTAGACACACCTGGCTCACAGAAGTGTCTGGGGTAGGGCACTGGGAGGGTGTAATCCTGAGCCCCTGGTGTTTCTGCTTTGGGCAGGGGCCTTGTCTCTGGCTATACTTAGTAGGGGGCATGAATAAAGGCCACAGGCTCCAACATGTGCGTAGCAGCTTCTTGTCTTTCTCTCCTGGTCCCTGTCTTGGCTGTGAGCCTGGAGTCCCATCTCTCCAAGTTGCTGGCCAGGCTAGCCCCCTGTCTGCAAAGGCAGGACTCCCGGGCAGAAGGGTGCAGTCTTGGAGGCAAGCATGAGGTCATGCCTGGCTCTGGGCCTGGGAGGCGGGTGAGGGGAGTGGTCTGGAGCAGAGGCTAAACTTAGAAACCTGTGGGTGGCTTCTCTGCCCCCTCCCACTAGCTATCCTCCCCCAGACATGGGGGCTGGGTTCCTCTCTAGTGGGGATGGGGAGATGGCCCTGGGCGGGGTGTGAGAGTCCCATCCTTCCCTGGGGGGCCAGCTTGCGAGCTCAGGAAGCTGAGGCCAGGCGAGGAGACATGGAGGCTTTTGCATAGAATAAGGTTTTGTTTACAGAGTTTTTCTTCCTCCCCCTTCCCCCAATTGTTAGCAGCTTGATGTGTCATTCTCTCCAGCAGGGGAGGGGGTGGAATGGCTTGGGTTGTAAACTCCCTCCCCCAGCCTTCCGGTCCCTTGGAGGGGCAGCTTGGCTGGGTTCTGGTTCAGGGTCGGGAGGGCGATTAAGGCTTGGCTGGTGTGAGAAGGCCGCTGCCGTGTCTTTAGAGCTCATTCCTCCACTCTGGCTCCACTTGCAGGGACAGGCCGCCGTCACCCTCCCTCTCCTGGGGGAGGTAGTCATGACTCTGGGGCCCTAGAAAGAAAGGAGGTGAGCTTTGTCTTCCTTACCTCCTCCCCTAGCCCTGTCCCTTACCTGGCCCACCCCGGCCCAGCCATACCTGAGGTAGAGGGGCTGAGCTTGCTCAGACCTTGGAGTAAGTTCTGTCCCTGTTGCAGGTCCAGTTTGGCAGGGAAGGGGCACCCGGTGTACCCCCCATTTTCTTTACAGAACTCCAGGAATCTGTGGGGAACAGGGACATGCACACACACAGCTGCACAGGCCTGGATGAGGAGCATCAGAGGCCGGACGCTAAGCCTTGGTCCTGCTACAGCAGCCTTTGGGCAAGTTGCTTAACCTCTGACTGTCAGGTAACTTAAACGGGGTTATTATGAAGATGAACAGACCTGAGGATTAACTGAGCCACGAAGACTTGCTTAATGAAGATCCACCTGCCCTAGGCTGGGGGATGTGGCCACCAAGAAGGATTTACAAGGTGGGAATGCTCACGTTTTCCAGTCGGGGTCATGGCCCAGGAGGAGTGGGTTGCCCACCACGATGAGCAAGGCCTTTGCCCGGGTCACAGCCACGTTGAACCTCTGAAGGAAGAAGTGGTGGGGGTCACAGGAGGGAAGGGCCCCAAGGAAGAAGAGCTCCAGTCACCCACCTGCCCTCAAACCTTGGGGTTCTTTAGGAAACCCAGGTTGAAGTCCAGATCCAGCTGCACAAAGCTCTGGCTGCTTCGCACGGTGGAGATGAGGATGACGCTCCGTTCTTGGCCTTGGAACTCTTCCACGGAGCCCACCTAGATGGGGGAGAGCCAAGGCATGAGCCCAAGGGCTCAAAGGGAACCAGAGGGACAAGCCCTGCCTCAGAGGGCTTCAGCTCCAAGGGGGTGTGGAGAAGTCACGGTGGAGTGAGTGAGTGTCCTGACCGGGGCAGGCAGGAAGGAGGACCGGAGGATGCCGAGGAAGCTGAAACCTGAAGGGTGAATCCAGTTAAAGGAGCGGGAGGTGCAAAGTGATCTAACCAAAGAAAACAGGGTTGCAAAGAACATGGAAACTCAGAGCAGTGTTTTTCAAACTTTCCCGAAGATAATCCCTAAGTACTTGTTTAAAAATATACAACCAGACCCCCTGAATCAGAATTTCTAAGGGAGAGGCCTCTAAATCTTAAAGCCCCAGTTTTCAGCCCTGGCTGCAGACTAGATCACCTGAGGGGCTGTAAAAAGTACCAGCGCCCTGGCTCTGCTCCCAGACAGCTGTGTTAAGTGGTTGGGTGGGGCCCTGGCGCCCTGTACCGAAGGCTCTCCAGGTGATTCTTATCTGCAGCTGGGGCTGAGAACCACCACCTGAGACAAGAGTCAAGCTACTGACTGACTCAAAGGGTGGGAGAGGTGAGCGGGGACACTCATGACAGGTGGGACAAGTTGGAGAGTTTGGACTTTATCCTTAGGGCAAAGGCCTTAAACCAGCCTGATCATAGGAATCATGTCGGGTGTTTTCTAAGCACGTAGGCTTCCTGATCCCATCCCAGACCTACAAGGCGGGAGCTCCAGAAGTGAGAGGCTTGGGTTCCGTCTCAGGCATCAAGGGTGGGGCGGGGACATTTGCTGGCCTGGAGCATCAGAGCAAGAGCCTGAGGTTGTCTCAGGAAGCAGAGAAGTGAGGGGCACAAGGCAGGAAGGGACTGTGAAAAAGCAGTTGAGTGTCACCTTCAAGTCCTTGATGTCATCCAATCCCCGAAGCTCCTTGTCAAGTTTGGTGATGCAATAACGGATTTTCTCCACCTGGAAGATGGGGACAGGTGCCTTTCTCTCATGCCATTACTCCAATGCAAGAGGGAGCCAGGCAGGAGGCCAGGGAGCTGGGGGCAAAAAGGGAGGGGGCCTCTGACCTCTGAGCTCTTTTGAGATATGGGGCCAGCGGAGGCCTGAGCTCCTGGAACCTGCGCCTACTGGTCTGGCTACGAAGGAGGTACCATCTAGCGGGTCCCAACCCTGATGGGAACTGAGGGCCTGACCTGCTTCCGGTATGGGGAGATGACGCCCACGCTTCGGGGGCTCAGGCGGGCTTTGCCCTTCTTGGAGGAGGGGGCCAGGAGCAGCTTCAGGTAGGAAGTCACTGTGGCAGCCTCTTCGGGGTTGAAGAAGGACGGGCTATTGCCCTCACGCTCATCCTTGCCCATTACGCCATGAAAGATGATGGGAAAGCCCTGGACATGGGGTCAGGGGAAACCCTCAGCCGAACCTCCCTGCCTCCCTTCCCTCCCACCCCCAAACCCATCCAGGGAATGTGGGATCCCAGGCCAAGGTGACAGAGAGGGGCCTATAGCTTCCACCCAGAGGCCCCTCCTACCCCCTACCTTCCATAGGAGGGCAGCTAGGGTCCAGGGGTGGGAGCCTGAGCCCCTGCCCTGCTCAGCCTCACCTGTCGAGGCAGACCCTCCCAGCGGCAGAAGCGCTCTCGGTCCACAACATCAGCACAGGCCTGCAGCTCCCCATCATAATAGAGCCGGTTAGGAATGTCCAGGATGGTGGGGTGGGACCTGGTATGCAGAAGGAGGAAGGAAGAGCAAGACCAGGGGCCCATTACTTCTCCCCTGCCCACCCGGCCCCCGCTCTACCTGCTCTGGGCCCATACACATTATCCTCCTGCCCCACTGCCCCCTGGATAGCAGACTCGTTCACCTCCAATGTCTGCTGTTAGGCACTGTAAACCACAGAAAGCAGAACCAAATGTGGTTCCCGAGAACCTCTGGACCAAGAATTTCATAGACCAAGCACATTGAAAAGAAAAAAACAAGAAATTAGGGACCCACTCTCAGGTTTCACTTTTGCCAAGGAAGGATAGTACAAAAACAAGTACCATCTACTATCACCATTATTTGATGAGATAATGTGTTAAATCCAAAAATATAAGTAGTACTAATAATAGCTACATTTATTGAACTCTTAGTGGACTCATCTGAGGAACTAAGCACTTAGGAACCATCTGAGTATTTTAGATGTGTGAACTCACTGACTAAAGGAAGTATAGCTCTTAAAATTAGGTTTATGAAAAACTACATTGTTCCTGTTTTTCTCGTTTCTCTTTGGATTTCCTGGGAACTTCCTCTGGGACCAGACACATCCCAGTGTCTGACCATCCCCATACACAGACAAGCCAACTGCTCTAGAGGGAAGCCACTTGCTAAGTCACACAGCCAAAGAGTAGCAGTGACGGGGCTGGAGAGGAGACCTCCGACCTTCCAGTTTATAGTTTTTCTTCGTCACACAGCATCTGAGCAACAGGACTGCAGGAGGGAGCCTCCAGCCAGGGCTGCACAGAGGGTGTGAAGGCATGGGATTGCAGGAGAGGGGAGGGTGCAGGGTACCTGTAGTTGCGTAGCAGCTTGGTTATGAACTGGGGGTCGTAGCCGTCAGGGCCCTTCTTGTACAAGGCGTTGTAGGTGAGCAGCCGCTCCAGCAGTGAGTACCCCAGCCCATGCTTCTGGGTCAGTGGGGAACGCAGCACAGGCCCCAGCTGCCGAGGGTCTCCTGCCAGCACCAGCTGCCCTCCTGGATTGTCTGTTTCCTTGACTTCCATCAGCCCTGGGAGGCAAGGTAGGGTGGGGAGAAAGGTGTGGTGAGACGGCCCCGACCCCCACACAGGGTGGCATACCCACAGCCCACCTTAAGCCCCTCACCTGCTATGGCCACCAGACTCTCAGGCTCCATGGAGTGGCCAGCTTCATCGATGAAGATGTGTGTGAAGTGATCAATGGGAAACTGGGCCGAGACCAACCTGGGAGGTGTCAGGCCGTGCAGGGGTCATACCCAGGTACCCAACTGCAATCTGAATGCTCATCCAAACTGCCCCTCACCCACCTCCCCAGGCACCATTCTTCCCCATCTCCCCAGCCTGCCCTTTCCTTACACACGCCACTGAGACACACATACACACTTCCCACCTGCTGGCAGTGATGAGGGTGGTAATTAAGACACGATATTCCTGCAGCTTCTTCTTGGCGGGAAATACGTAATCGCCCTTCCTTGCATCCCAGTTACAGCAGGGCTGTGATTGTGAAGGGAAAGGGGGAATCAGCTTGGCTCCACCCATTCTCACTCTGTCTCTGGCTCTGGGGTCCCCAGGCAATTTTATTTACCTCTCTCTTTATACATGGGGAAACTGAAGCCCAGAGAGGGGTCCTAACCCACCCAAGGCCACACAACAAGTATCAGAATGCAGGTCTCCTAGTTTCCTGGCCCCAGTGACTACCCTGAGAGCCCTCACGGCATCCACCATCCCTTGCTCTTTGGCACTTCCCCAGGTACCTTGATGTCCTCAGGCACCATGCGGATGTCCCTGCTGGGGGCCAGGAGACGGTAGATGGAGCTGGGCAGGTGGACCCGGAGCCGCTGACAGAGGAGGTCAGCCCCCGAATTGGACGGAGCGCAGGCCAGGATGTGGGCATCAGGCAGGTGCTTCACAACCTGGGGTGGGGATAAGCACAGTGGGAAGCAGCTTCCTGGTCTCCAGACAGAGGGAGGGAGGGAGAGACTTGGGGGTGCCTCAGGCTGGTGCAGTATAGCATTTGCCTCCCCTAGCTGAGGGAGCTAGTGACACAAATGGCAAGTTCTGATCCACAGCCCCTTGCTAGTCCAAATAGCACTTTAATGCTGGAAAACTGCTGCAGTAAATATACAAGCCTACGATGACTGACTCATGAATGGTGACTCCAAGAGTCATGCAGTACACAACCTGTGCAACAATGCTCAACAGTCATACTGACCCTTGATGTTAGCTCAGGGACGTTCAGGAAGCTGGACAGAACCAGAAATCTGGGGACAAGGGCTTGATCCCAGGGAAGTCAGAGTGTAGGCCCCAGGTCTTGGCTCATGACCCACCTGCTTGATGGCTTCCACTAAGGTGACAGTCTTGCCAGTGCCTGGAGGCCCAAAGATGATGTAAGGGGCTGGACGAGTGGTGCCCATAACAATGTGCTTCATGGCCTGTAGCTGCTCAGGGTTTGACTCCAGACTCCGGTCATACAGCCTGGCAAAGGGGCCAGGAACATGAAGTCATCCAGTGTCCCAGAGGCCTCCCCGACTCCATCCTCTATGCCACGCTCCAGGTAGCCCCAGAGCCCCCCTGCCCACAGTCTCACTTGAGCTTCACATCTGAGGGCAGCAGTGGGACCCCACGGGAGGCCACAGGAAAGAGCATGGGCCACAGCAGCCAGCGCCCCGTCAGCTCCAGGGCGCGATGCTGCACCCTCAGAGGCTGGCGGTTAAAGGTGAAGTTCACCTTGAAGGTCAGCCCATCCACAAAGCGGCTCAGGAGGCTTTGGGAAGGGAGAGAGGGGGAAGAGTTCCAGTTAGGTGGGTGGGCAATAAAAGGCCAGGACTCCCTCCATCTACCCCGACTCTACTCCCTCTTCCCAAGACCTCCACGCAATCCCTCCAGGAGAGGAAGCTGCCAAGGTATCTCAGGGTCCCCCTGAAGAAAAGCCTCTTGCCCCGTCCCTGGGGTTCCACTCATCTCAGGGAGAAAGACCCCCCCCCTCCCCTGGCCTAAGGGGCATCTGTAGACCCTTCTGGCAGCTCAGGGTTTCCCCAACACCTACCTCATGGAAAAGCTCAGCTTGACACGGTCCAATTCTACCTTGTGTACAAAGCCCTTATAGGTGACGGGGTCCCCTTGGTGTGTCTCAGAGGACAAAAGGGCAAACAGGTGGTCCCCTCGTAGCACTGAGGGGCGGCTCTCGGTCACCCCGGGAACCTAGGGGGTATGAACACAAGCAAGCTTCTACCCCCTGGAGGGCCCAACCCCCAGGCTCTCCAGGCCTCCTCTGAGCGACAAGGACTGAAGCTCTACCCTTCGCCCCAAGACGCAGGGAGCTTTGCCTTTTTCCTCTCCCACCAGATAGCACAAGAGTCAGGGGACAAGGAAGGAGATAAGTCTGTCCAGGCTGCTCAGCAATGCTAAGCCCAGGAATCCCAGAAACCCTCCAGTGCACGATTTCAGGACGTGGAAGCCAGCTTTCCAGCCGGTTCAGTTGCCATCTTGGACAGCTCAATTCCTACTCTGCTTTTAAAATCTTTTTCAAAACTCAGTTCCTGCAGGAATCCTTCCCTGACATCCTCATACCCGCCCCCCCCCCCCCCCACTGGGTCCCTTCCTCAGCACTCAGTGTGCAGGATCCATTCTCATGTGTAATTCTGGGCTTATGTGTACACGTTCAACATCTGAGAGCTGGAAGGGGCTCTAAGAATTATCTAGTCCAGCTCTGTGCTTTTCAGATGAGGCGACTAAAACCGAGAGAGAGCAAGGGACTTGTGAAGGCCACACAGGCGGTGGTAGCAAGTCTAAACTAAAACTCAGGTCCTCCCCACTGCCTTGCTCTGCCACCTCTTTTGGGGCACGTTGCTAAGCCCTCTGGGGCAGGAACAACTTCGTCCTTCCTCTTGTTATGCCCTGCCCTCAGGAACAGTGTTCTGCCCATAGCCTGCGGGCTGGTGGCTGACCTGAGCCCACCTCCCCGCACACAATCCAAGCCCCAACCTCCAGTGTGAGCAGCCTGGGGTTCTGGTCTACAGGGTCCCAGGTCATGGGCACCGACTCCAGGTCATAGTGCCGGATGTCATGTTCCATCTGCAGCTCCTCCAGGTGCAGCAGCAGCCGGAGCTTCACCTCGTAGTTCCTCCACTTGAGGGCTGTCTCCAGCTGGGCCCTGGCAGTGATGGTTGGGCGGGTGGGAGGGGCAGGAACAGGAATAGGATGAGTCAGGTAACCCCCATGCCCAGGAGCATCCACCCTCTCCCATCCTCGGCTCTGGGACTATGAAAACATCAGGCATCAGGGAAGACTAGAAGGGCAGAGAAGTGGATGGCTCAAGGCCTCGAAGAAGACAGCCCTGGGCCCTGCTTCTCACTCCCTTCCTTGAATGCCCCTGCCCTCTACCTCAGATCTGACTTGGCATTTGCACTGTGGACCCTAGGGTCTGGAACATTCTCTCCCCAGATCCTCCTATGACACACACCCTCACCCCATTCAGATGTCATTCCCTGCTCAGACGTCATCTCCTCAAAGAGGCCAGGACTAACTGCCCTCAGTCTGGCCCAACCCCTTACCCTGCTTTAGTTTTAGTGAGCTTCAGTTTACTTCTTCATAGCACTCATCATGACATGAAATTATAAGACAGATGCTCACTGCTCCCGACTAGGATGGACAAGGCCATGAGTGATTCACCTTGAACAGTGCCCGGAGCACAGTGCGTGCTCAGTAAGGGAATGAACGAACGGAGCATGGGAGGCCGAGGACAGAGGTTTCGGGGCAACGTGAAGAAGCCAGCAGGGAAGAGACAGATAAAGCAGCATGAGGGGTGCAGAGCAGTGGTACTTACTTGATCTCAGCAATCTCCTTTGGAGCAGTGAAGATACTTGTTCCCTGAAGAAGGGTGGGGAGCAGCTGCCGGAGGCGGGGTGGTGGGTAGTACGTCCCCAGCGCCATACTTAGCTCCAGGTCATAGCCCTTAGCGCTGCAGGGGTGGGGAAGGAAAAGCTATCAGGAACACAGAGACCCCTCACCTTCAGAGACTCTGAGAAGGCCCCTCCCTGGAGGATACACAAGCCCTTCTACAAAACTATCATTGACGGGGGTCAGCAGCCTGGGCCCGAGGAGGCAGAACTCACTACCTCATGTGGCCGCTCGCTTCAAGGTTGGGCTGTTCTCATTTTTGGAAGCATTAAGAAAATATATATGTAATACATATATAGGAATAGAATACGTATATAAGCAATACATGTTCATTAGAGAAAAAAGGTAATAAATAAATGAGTAAATAAATAACATTCTCACCATCCAGGGATAACTGACATTAACTTTTTGGTAGGTAGTCTTCCAGACTTTTTTGTTGGTTTGTGTTATATACACTTTTTTTTTTTTTTTGAGGAAGATTAGCCCTGAGCTAACTACTGCCAGTCCTCCTCTTTTTTTTTTTTTTGCTGAGGAAGCCTGGTCCTGAGCTAACATCCGTGCCCATCTTCCTCTACTTTATATGTGGGACGCCTATCACAGCATGGCGTGCCAAGTGGTACCATGTCCGCACCCGGGATCTGAACCAGCGAACCCTGGGCCCCCGAGAAGCGGAACGTGCGAACTTAACTGCTGCGCCACCGGGCTGGCCCTATACACGTATTTTTAATAGCAAAAGCACAATGGTCTATAGCGTGCTTTTACAGTTCAGCATTTTGTGAACACCTAACCATGTCAAGAGATGTCTACACATACTATTTGACTCCAGTCATATGAAATTTCCAGAATAGGCAAATCTATAGGGACAGAAAGTAAATGAGTGGTTGCTTAGGGCTGGGAGGGAATGGGGAGCTAAAGGGTGGTGGGTAGTACGTCCCCACCTAGGTAGTACCCATTCTAGGGTAATGAAATGCTCTAACAGGGATTGTGGTGAAGGTTGCACATATCTGTGAATATACTAAAAACCAACGCACTGCACACTTTAAATGAGTGAACTCTATGACATGTGAATTATCTCAAAATTGTTAAAAAAGAGAGAGATGTCTACCACGGGCTGCCTGACAATCCATCATACTGTCAAAAATGCTTAACATTTTTTCACACTGTCGTATCTGCTGCCCAGAGGAGTTAAGAACTCGCCGTTAGGAAAGGGGGCTCCGGCCCCCAGCTCTGTGCTCTTCCCCAGGGCCCGCACGGTTGGGTTGGGGCCCCCCAGCCCCGACTGCGCTGGAGAGAGGAGTTACCGGTCAGGTCTCTCTCCTTCCTCTATCCGGTTGGTCACTACAGGGTTTCCAGTGATCCGAGTCCGCTTGAAGGGAGTCGTGGGCTTCAGTTGTGCTGCAAGGGGACTGTGGGCGACAGCAGCCAAGAAGCGGGCAATGTAGAAAGTGCCAGCTCCTTCTGAACCCGGTTCCCCGGGTCCCAGCAGCTCCCAGAGCACCGTGGCTGGGAAGTAGCCCACAAAGCTGGTCTGACAGTGGACATGGAGCTCATAGCATTCACCTGCAAGAGGATGGGTGAGTGAGCGGGGGGCAAGGAGGGAGCCTCCTCCCACCAGCCTCTCTACCCTGGATAACCCCCCGCCAAATAGCCCCATCCCAAGCCAGGAGCCCAGAGGACAGCAATGGTAACCCTTCCTAGGGCAAGACCCTATCCACCAGAGGCCTTTTCCTTTGGAAACCCACTCACCGGGGCCCAGCGGGCAGGGCAGCTCCTGGTCTCCATTGTAGAAGGCAAACTGGGAGGTCCGGCAGAGTGGGAAGAGGTGGGTGAGGGTGACCGGCTGCGTTCCTCCGTTCCGAAGCCTCAGGGTCAGCACCTCCTTGCGGTTCAAATCCAGGCGGATAAGGAGCTGCCCATCTCGGGCTTCATGGGGCCCCTGGACTTCCACGTCCACCCCATGTTTCCCGTGAAGATACTCAGCCCTGGGGAGAGTGGGAGTCAAGGGCGGGGGCTGGGGCGGGAGGGGCCTGGACTGGAGGCAAGTTGCTTGGGGCAAGTTTTAGGCTGGGGAGGCTGGCAAAGTGCCAGCTGTGCTCAGGCAACCCACTCCCTCCCCCCAAACCAATTAGCTCCTTCCCTACCCTTCCCCCACTCCTTGAAGGAGGGGCCTTACCCCAAGCTGAGACAACACACTCTTTTCTCAGCCGGACAGCTTCCCCACACCCAGGCCCCTCTCTACACAACCCCCTCACACACATACACACCTGTCATAAAAGATCTTGGCTAGCAGTGACTTGTGGTGTTTGCTGATATCTGACCCCAGCTTCATTCTCCTCTTTTCTGGGAGCCACACGTCAGCCCAGCGGTCGAGTCTGAAGAACCTGACCCGTGTCTTGGTGACGTAGGCCAGATTTGCAAACTTCATTCCATACAGCATGGAGGAGAAGCCAGGGGCGGGGGTCCCAAAGCTGCCGGAAGCAGAGGAGACTGGGAAGTGAGGGAAGGCAGGGCGACATGTTGGGAAGGGCGTCTGAGGGTCACTCTGTGCTGGACACACCAGCCCTGCTGGGGAACAGGACAGGGCCCAGGGACAGAGACTCAGGCGAGGGATCGTAGGAATTTTTAATGTTTTAAGGGAAGGCAACGGGACTTTCCTAGACAAAATATGATTGTTTTAAGCAGCAGATTGTGGATTGTGCAATTCTGAGAAAAGCTCAATCATGGGCTGTTGATTTGGAAAGCTAAGGGAAGAGAGAGAAAGAAATGAAGATTTTTTGGGAAAACTATTGGGGACAGAAAAGATACAAATAACCCAGTGGAAAGAGCTAAGGCTAAGGGGAAGCTGAATTGTTGATTCGAAGGGGTGGAGCTGGGGTCCAGCCTGATGGTGCAGAGTGAGAGAGGGGTCACAGAGTACAGATGTCCAGGGTGTGTGGGCAAGGTGGCTGATCAGACAGCAGTTTCCACCTGAAGTCAAAGGGTGCAGGTGGAACCCAAGCAGGAAGGGAAAGGATCCTTCTCCAGAGATCAAATAGCTTGGCTTTGTGCCTAGAGAAGGTGAAGACAGGGAAAAGTGGTCAGAAGGACAATAACCGCAAGATTCAGCGCCTGGAATTCAGTTTAGTCAAGTCAACAAACACTTACAGAGACCTGTTATGTGCCAGACACTGCGCTAGATGCTGGGGGTTCAAAGAGGCAAAAGACTCAGACCTGCCTCCAGGAGCAGACTGAACATAGCAATTCCAGCAAGCTGCCGGGAGCACAGCAAAAAGGAGGCTTCCGGGCAGCCTGGGGACAGCGGCGGGTCTAGGAAGGCTTCCCCAGGAGACAGGGTCAGAATTGAGTCCTGAAGGACCAATGGGGGTCAGCCAGGTAGGGTGTGAGCTAAGGTGGGCGGATATACAAGAACAAGTGCAAGGGGCTGGGGGGACTACCCACTCTGTCACTAGTAGGCCACCTCGGGTCACTTCATCTCTCAGAGCCTCGCTTTCCTCCCTATACAATGGGGCTAACTACAGACTTACCTCGTGGAGGTGCTGTGAGGATTACATGAGATGGACATTGCAGTGTCCACTTAGCCCAGTGCTTGGCACATAAGGAGATCTCAGTAAGAGATGCTAGGATTAGTATCACACACAGTCTGGTTGTACTAGAGTGAAAAGTGCAAGGAAGGGAGTGGCAGAGGGCAGCAGAGGTGGGCAGGGACCAGGTCACACATAGTTTTGTATGCCAGGTCCTAAAGCCTGGACTTGACCCTGAAGGCCAGCAGTCGTCCTCCTTTACTAACATCCAGGAGCCAGAGGACATCCCCATATGTGACATACTTCATGGAAATATTCAAGATCTGGACTACTGAACACCCTCCCTCTTTCCTTTGTAGGGAATGAAAGCAGATGCTAGTTCCTAAGGACCATGGTAATCCCTATATAACTATTAAAGCTAAATCAGCACGGTCACTCATGAGCATATAATAAGATCATTTATGGTTATGGACATCTCCCTGGTGCCCCCTGCCTGTAACTCTGCCCCTCTCCCTCACCCCGGGCCAATGAGAATGATACTATTTGGAAGACTTTGAATTGGCTCTCACTTGTTTTAAAAAGATAATAAATCATTTGAAAACATCTTAGCAAATACTCAGTAAATGTTAGCTACTATTATTAGTATTTGTATTAGTAGTAAACAATAGTACTAACAGTAGCAGGAGGAGGAGGAGTAACAACTTACTTTCAGCCCGCCTCAGATGCTACACTGCGGTTACAGAACCACCAGGCGGTGGGTTTTAAGCAGGGGAGTGGCAAGATCAGATCTGCATTTCAGATCACTCTGGCATCAGGATTGGAGGATGGATTTGCTGGAGGCAAGACTGCAGGCAGGGAGACCAGTTAGAAGAAAGCCATTGTAATAGTCCAATTAAAAGGTGACTAGGGTCTGAACAAGGCTGTGGTAAGAATAGAAGAGGGGCTAGATCTGATAATATTTAGAGTATAAAATCAGCAGAATTTGGTGATTGACAAGAGGGGGAACGGAGGCTGGGCTTTGGGGACTATTTGGGGACTATACCTGAGACAGGAGGTAAAGGGAGGGGGGAGAGTAGGAGGGGAGGAGGGGGAGAAAGAGGTTGCTGGAGGGACTGACCATGACCTTTGGATTTGGACATGCTCAGTTTGAGACTCCTGTGTCCAGAGGCAGCTGGTTCCATGAGTCAGAAGCTGAGAACTCAGGCTAACGTTAAGGTAGAGCCTAATATTCGGCAGTCCTCAGGTAGTAGTTACAACCATGAAAATGTCTGTGATCGCCCCAGGGAGTGTGAGCAGTCTGAGAACAGCCAGGGCCAGGACAAGCCAGGGAGGAAGAGAAAACAGAGAAGGAAATGCCCCCAGGAGAGGGAGGAGAATCAGGAGGAGTCTCAGAATCAGGTATCAGGCTCAAACGCCACTGAGAGGCCCAGTCCTAAAGGGACTGAAACCAGGAAGCCACCAGTAACTTTCACCAGGGCCCCTTGGTCAGTGAATTCCATGGATGGGGCACAAATTCAAATGCTGACAGAAGCCAGGCCCTGCAGGTGTCTTTGATACCTGTAGCCCTCTCAGGCACCTGTACAGTCCCATTTTTGAATCATTAGAGTAAGAAGGACTCCACGCCCCTCATAACTACTATAAGAAAACAAATGCTGGGGTTGGCCCCTGGGCCATAGTGGTTAAGTTCAGGGTGCTCCATTTTGGCAGTGGGGGGTTCCTGAGTTTGGATCCTGGTAGGGACCTACACTACCCGTCAGCCATGCTGTGGCAGTGACCCACACACAAAATAGAGGAAGATTGGCACAGATACTAGCTCAGGGCAAACCTTCCTCAAGCAAAGAGAGGAAGATTGGCAACCGATATTAGCTCAGGGCCAATCTTACTCAACAACAAGACAACAAGTGCAGGTGCCGTGAAATGCCGCGGAGCTCTAGGCTTGGTGCAGGGGAGGAATCAGGGCTCTGAAGGGACTGAACCATGCCGTCGAAAGGGATAAGTGATGCTCATCTCCAGACAAATGCTCCTAGCAGGAAAGGTAGGCCCAAGATAGCCAGATCTTCTGGGTTTTAGGAGAAGCCCGAATCAAAACATTAATGTGAAATCTGTCTTTAGAAACTTCTGTGTGGGTGCATGGGCAGGAGGAACTCAACTTTGCAAGTTTTGTAACATCTACTATGGGTGCTACCATCTAAGTATTTCTCAAAATTATTCCCCATATCTGTTACGACTACCCTAATTCACCTATCCCTGCCCTAAGGTGACAGCCATAATAAATATTCATATATATATTTTAAACCCACAAACTTAGTACATACTTGAGAAACAAGCCCCAATTCCTGTATTATACATCTAGTCACCTAGATTTCTAGGGAAAAAAGGCAGACAATTCAATTGAAAAATTGAATATTCAACTTAAAGAACAAATCCAGATGATCAAAGAAGTATAAAAAGATCTCCAAAAGTAGAGAAACGCAAATTAAAGTAAAAATGAAATATTTTGTTTGTTAGACTGACAAAATGGAAAATAGTCACAACATGCATTGCTGTTATGTATATTTGGAAAAGTGAACTCTCATACATTGCTGGTAGAAAGGTGAAGTGTATTACAATCTTTTGGAAAACAATCTGCAAACATCTGCTAACATTTGAAATACAGGTATCCTTTAACTCAGGAATCTCATTCTTGGGAACATATCCCATGGAAAGGAAAGTACCAATGTGTAAGGACATACAGGCAAGGATGCTTCTGCAGTCATTCACAGTAGCCAAGAACTGGAAACAAAACAAATACCCATCGAGAGAGAGGGCTGAATAAATTCTAAACACCTGTACCATGGAATATTATACAGCCATCAAAAAGAATGCATCACACCCACCTGAATGGCTAAAATTTAAAAGGCTGACAACACCAAACGTTGACAAGGATATGGAAACACCAGAATGCTCACGTGTTGTTGGTCAGAATATAAAATGGTACAATCACTTTGGAAAAAGGTTCGATAGTTTCTTGTAAAACTAAATATATATTGTAATGTTCTGACTTTTAATGAAAAGAATATTATATTATAATTGCAATAAAAATTCATTAAAAAACAGTGCAACTCTAATACCTGGTGTAGACCTAGTGCTGGTATTTATTCAATAAATACTTGCTGGTAGAATGGGTGAAAGTAATATCAAAGTAACTCTAGATTGTTGTTTTATAGACAAAAAAGATGACAATGCAAACACTGAACTGCTGGCTGACATATAGCCCCACCGTGCAATGGCCTGGAATGTTAGGTGTCAGGTAACATACCTGTCCAACTTGCACAATATAGATAAAGGAAGGAAGGAAGTGGAAGGGAACTAAAATGTATGAAGGCATGGTCACACTACTTTCAGATGGCTGTGTACATTTGGAGTCATTAGTTGTAGGCAACAGAATAAATTATGGATGATTTAAGTGAGAAGAGCTTAATTAAAACTGCTGAGAGGTTTGAAGAAGGCGGCTCAGAAAACCGGCAGGAAGTAAGGAAGGCTGAGCAGTCTAAACCCCACACAAGATCACAGCAGACCAGTCCAGAAGACTCGGCTGCTGCCACCGAAAAAGAGGTTAAGCATTCTGCCCAAGATTAAAAATAAATAAGTAAATACCCCCTGACCCAGCAATTAGACCCCTAGGGATATCCCCAAGAGAAATGAAAACATATGTCCACAAAGCGACTTGTGCAAGAATCTTCATGGCAATTTTTTTTTTTTTTTAAAGATTTTATTTTTTTCCTTTTTCTCCCCAAAGCCCCCAGGTACATAGTTGCATATTCTTAGTTGTGGGTCCTTCTAGTTGTGGCATGTGGGACGCTGCCCCAGCGTGGCCTGATGAGCAGTGCCATGTCCGCGCCCAGGATTCGAACCGACGAAACACTGGGCCGCCTGCAGCGGAGCGCGCGAACCCAACCACTCGGCCACGGGGCCAGCCCCCTCTTCATGGCAATTTTATTCATAATAGCCCCAAACTGAAAACAGTGTCCGTGAACAGAACAGATAAACAAACTGTGATTTGTATTCATACAAGGAATACTACACAGTGATAAAAAGAAACTACTGATGCACACTACAACACGGATGAATCTCAAAAACGTTACGTCAAGTGAAAGATGCCTTACTGAAAGAGTGCGTGCTATTTGAGAACAGGTACTCTCTCTGAAAAAAGCAGAGCACTGGTTGCTTTTGGGTGCTCAGGGTGAGGACTGACTAGGAAAGGAGATAAGGGAACTTTCTGGGGTGATGTCATGTTCTGTATCTTAACAGGGGGTTGCACACAGGCATATGAATTTGTTAAAATTCATAGAATGGTACACTTAAAATGTGTCCATTTCATTATATGTAAATTTTACTTAAAAAAAAAGAATCGTAAACAAATTTTGAACTCCTATAGTTAATGATAATCATGCTGAAGCGTTTAGGGGTTAACTGCACTGATACCTGCAACTTACTTTGAAATGCATCAAAAAATTACGATGGCTGGAGGGATGGATCGATGAGCAGACGTATAAAATGCTAATTAACAAATCTAGGTAAGGGTGTAATATGGGTGTTCACTGTACAATTATTTCAACTTTTCTTTATGTTTGAAATCTGTCACCATAAAATATTGGGGAAAACCCCCAATGCATTTGACGGTCAGGAGTGATTTCCACGACATATTTTCGAGTAAGAAAATTGAGATGTAGAAAATGTGCGTAACATGATCTCTTTTCTAATAAAATAACAACTAAAAAGATACCCTGGTTGATATCATGAATTCCTGAGCATGGGGCAGAACAAGGAAATGGAGGTGGGACGCTGATATGGGGAGGGTCCATAATAAAAAAAAGGTCTATTATAATGATCCCATGTGGGTAAATTTACATTGTGTGATGGAAGTATCACGCATAAGGAGAGAGACGGACGAAAGGGTGGTCACCAAAAGTACTAAAAAACATTTAAACAAGATAAACATCTAACATAAAATATTAAGGACCCCCTACTCACTCACTCCCAACTACCTGTTTAAGTGCTTGATGTATATTTTTCCACTTTCTTCTCTGCACACAAAAGCATTTTTTAAGCATACATATTTTTTATATTACACATACTATTCTGCAACAGAGTGCTTTCACCACCATGGATATCCTTCCATCACAACATTTTATCAAGCCACTTCGCTCTTTTGAATGGCTACAAAGGATAGCACAGTTTGAATGCACTGTGGTAGGCAGGCTAACTACAATTTTTGCCTACTGTATTTCAAATGTTATAATAACCATCTTGCACAAAAACTGTTTACTATAGGTGATATATGGGACAAATCCCTTGAAGTAGAACTTCTTCCGGGTCAAAGAGAAGGAATCTTTACAACTTTAGTAAGTTCTGCCAAACTGTCCTGTAAATAGGTTGTACAGACTTACAGTCTCACTAACAAGGATTTGAGAAAACTCCTTTTCTTAGACACTTAACATCAGAAACCTCCAATCTTTTAAATTTCTGACAATCTGAAAAGCAAAAAATGTTATCTTGTTTAAATTTGCACTTCCCTGATCTCTAATACAGTGGAGGATCTTTCCTTCTGTTTATTAGTCATTCTATTTCTTCTGTGAACTGCCTGATCATATTTTTCTAAGCCCTATGAACTGCTGGTTTTCCTCTTCACACCCCTGTCCTGGTCCATCCCCTAAATCAGCAGGAGTTATTATCACACACAAATCAGGGCCGGTCCCTCAATTTATGACTCCACAGTCAACAGGATTAAGTCCTCTACTTGGATCCTCCCACATTAACAATGATAACGCAACGACAACACCACCATCAACAACAACAATAGAGAACATTTATTGAGCACTTACTGTGTGCTGTTCTAAGTACCTACATGCGTTATCTCATTTAAACCTCATGACAACCCTTTGAGGTAGCAATTATCATCACCCCATTTTACAGAAGAACCTGAGGCACAGGTCCGCACTCCACACGGGGCCTCTAGTCAATTCATCCTTCACGGCACCTCAGCCATTCCCAGCTACTTGTACCACTGCACTCCCTTCCAGACTTCTGCTGCTGTGGACATCCTTGGTCTGTAATGCCCTGCCCTTGGCCTCTGTTATTTGTTGGGTGAACGATGACTAATCTTTTTAGACCAAGGAAAGACTAATAGCTAGAAGAATGGTTATTCAGAACAGAATATCAGATTTGGAAGTGATCTTAAAAGGACATCTAGTTCTGTGTGTTACAAACTGTGGGTTGCAACTCTCATTAGTGGGTCAAGGCCAGGATTTTTATAAAATTGAAGTAAAATAGAATAAAAAATATCAGAGGGCAGGGAGTGAGGTTAAGATTGTTTCAAGGACACATATTGTTCTGTGAAAGCTGTGTGTACCAGACCCCAGAGTAAAATGTAGTTTTTTTTTTACCGTGGATAGGGGTCCAACCACCAAGCCATTCTCCACCCGGAAGCCAGGATGATCTTTCTAAAACCCTGATTCTGTCAGTCTCCTACTTTCAAACTGTCTGTGCTTCCCTATTCTGTTAAGGTTAAAAAACAAAACTAACCAAAAAAACCCCACAATACCTCTCCACCACCCACAAGGACCTGCCCAATCCAGCCCCTGCCTCCCTGTGGCCTCATGTCACTGGGTTCTCCCCAAGCCTTTGAAGGTTCTACTCCCTTTGTCTGGAGTGCTCTCTCCTTGCCTCTTACATCTGCTAACTCCTGTTTATCCTTCAAGATTCTGTTCAAATTTCACTTTCTCTCACAAACCCCTGATTCCCAGACTAGGTCAGATGTCCAAGATATACACTTGCAACGCACGCTGGACTTTTTCTTACAAGCCCTTATCACAACAGTAATTAAATACTTACTTGCCGCCTCCTGAAGACAGTTAGGCTCCTTCTGTGTACCTGCAGCAACTCCCAAAGCAAGAATAGTCTTCTCTCAGAAACTTTTCACGACACCAGTCCTTACTTCACACAACAGACTCCTAGCCATCACTGTACTAATGACAGCTACTACTTCCAAAGCCCGCACAATATGCTACTCAGGGTAAATCCTTTACCTACAATAACTCATTTTGGCCTCATACAACCCTGAGAGAAAGGCATTATTTTACACACTTAACAGTTAGGAAAATTTAGATAGTTGTTCAAAATCAAATGCAACTAGCAAGTGGCAGAGCCGGGATTTTAACTCCAGTTGTCTAACCACTATACTAGCACCGGCAGAACTGTATTACATGTTTGTCTACACATCTGCCACTCCCTACTAGACTACACCCTTTAGAGGCAGGAACCAAGGCACAGGCTCATAGTGAGCCTCATTCAATACGTTTGCTAAATGAATAACAAGAACTGAGAAAAGGCAAGAGTTGGGAGCAGAGCATCTCATCACATCATAAAATAACCTAGTTGGAAGGGCCCTATCCCTGCCAGTGTAGGAATCTCCTTGGCATTCTTGACAGACGGTGACTTGCTATACCTCCCCTACAGCCTATTCTTTTGTAGCTCAACTCTTTACTAATTCAATTAGATTCTGCAAGCATTTATTGAGCATCTACTACCTACAAGGCTCTATGATGGGGACTGAGGGCAGGTGCAACCATGATGAAAAGCCTGTCTGTGCCTTCAGAGGATCTGACAGGCCGGTGGGGGAAGACAGCTCCGTACTAGCTCTAACACAAGGCCGAGTGTAACTGGGCCATAACCAGGGTGTGAAGAATGAGCTACAAGAGCCCAGAGGAAGAAGCAATGAATTCCCATCGGGAGGATGAGGGTTGACGTCACAGCATTCCAGCCTGGGTTTAAAGGATGCATAAGCAATTTCTCTCTAATCAGAATTAGAAATCTCCTCCACCCGAAGGACGGAGCATGAGGGGGCATGTTCAGAGAATCTAGTTCTGCCTTCTGGAATGACACGGAAGTACAGTGTCTCCACCAGGACAGTCTTTAAAATATTCAAAGATAACTACCTTGTCCTCTCCAATTTTTCCTCTTTTTAGGGCAAACATTTCTTCGTTTCTTTGACTAGATCTCAGGACAGAATATGGATCAACACAGAAGCCTTTCCTTCTCCTCCAAATACTAAAACTACATCCTTCAAGGCCAAGGTCAATGCCACCTTTTCCATTGAATTTCCTAATAATTACAGGGGAGCGGTATCTTACTTGCAGAAAAAACAAGTGCATACAAAAAAAATTACTTTTGAAAACCTCTTAAATTCACCCATAATGTACAGTATATTTGGTGTTCTGTGTGTAATCTCACATAGCTTGTTTTTCCCCAGTATTGGGACATAGTGTGTATCTTTGCTTTAGAGCTGACAAACTCCTCCTGACCAAACTTAAGTCCGGCCCCTCCAAACCCTCTTCTTGATTGGGTCTCAACTTTGCCTCCCCGCCCCTGCCCACCCATCTCTGGCCAGCCTAGCACAGTCTCAGCAAGAATCCTGCTGTCAGTTGTGTAAGAATCCCGGACCCTCGATATCTTACCAAATTCCTCATCCCATACCTTTCATATGTAAATCCTTAACCTTGCCTTTAGCCAGAATCCCTCTACTCTTCATGTCTCCTCTTGGTAATTTTCTATCTGCTGACGTCCTTGTTCTGCTCCTTGGCTATAAATTCCCAGCTGTCTTTGCTGTATTTAAAGTTCAGCTAGATCTCTCTCCCCTATTGCAATAGTCTCGACGAAAGTCTTCCTTACAGTTTTAACAAGTGTCAGAATAATAATTTCTTTAGCAGAGCCAAAAGAAGTAGTTGACTTGTGTTTAGAGCCATGTTGTACTCATTTTTTGTGGACACAGCTGAATTCACATATGTGAAGTGTTGATGATGTGAACTCAGTGGTGTCTGCTTTATGTTCCTCCAGCATTTTTCTTATTATCTCTATTATAATCTTCATTTTATTTACGATTTATTCTAGTATCTTGGATGCATGTATATTGTATGCACATCATAGTCTCTACTGTTCCCCAGGGATTGTGTATTTTTCATCTTTCTATTCCCCATAGTGCCCAGTACAGTGGGGGAGCATAAAACAGATCTCATCTTTGCCCCTTCTTCAGATGGTGCTCAAGCCCGTTAATGCCCCTCTTAAAATGTGACACTCATTATTGAAAACAATAATCCAGATACAATCTGGTCAATATGGAGAGTCACTACCTCCTTCCCAACCCCAAACCACACTGTTAATACAGTCTAATGCTCCTTTCCTCTGGCAGCAGCCATACTGGCCTTTTCGTCTGCGAAAACCCAGTCTTTTTCAGGAGGTCTGTGGTTAAGCCTAAAGTCCCACCACGCTGTATTTATTTGTATGTCTTTACATTTACTCATGTTAAATTGTTTCTTGGTTTTCGGCCCAAGGCTGCAGCCTGCTGACAGAGGTGTTTTTAAAGCACAATTCCGTGGTCTGACAGAGGGAAGTCTCTTTTTTACTTGGATGGTAACAGGAAAGGGGGGTGACAAGGGGCCTCCATGATCCTGGTCCTGGCCCTGGGTCTCCATGGAGAAGCCACAGGTGTTAACGGAGGTTTGGTACGCATGTAGTTCGTGCTTTTTTCTTCTTTGCCGAATGCCCTGAGATTCTCCCTCCCACACTAGGTCTCTTAGCTCTCTGGGATAGCGGCCCCCGAAGATGCAGCCCATCCAAAAGGGGGCGGGGGTCCCGGGAAGCCCAAGCCCGGGCTCGGCGCCTCCAGCAGGCAGCTCCCTCCCTGCGCTCCCGCGCCGCCCGGGCCCCCTCCCGGGCTCCCCTCCCCCACGCCCAGCGCCGCCCCAGCCCCCGCCAGCGGCGCGTGGGCGCAGGACGCGGCTCCCGGCCTGGGGCCGCAGGGAGCGGGCTGCCTGCGAGGCTACCCGCGGGGACTCGGCGCAGGGGCCCGGCCGGGGCAGAGCGGGCGGGCTCCGGGCGGCGCTGGCGGGGCGTGGGCACGGCGCGGGAGGGGAGGTCTGCGCCGCCCCGGGACCGGCCTGAGCCACTGGGGGAGCTGCCTCCTTCCGCGCCCCGGGGCGGGAAAGGTGGCCCCGCCGCGGGGGTCTTGGCGGCGCGCTGGGCCCACGATTCTGGGCCAGGGAGTGGGCCGGCCCGTACCTGCTCTTGAAGTCCCGATTATAAATGGTCCGCAGCCGCTCGCGATCTGTCTCCATGTCCAGTCCCCGAACGACCAGGAAACTCTCGAAGCATTGGCCCGTCTCCCGGAGCTGCCGGCAGCTGAACTTACTGGGCATCGCGGCGGCGGCTGCGGCCCAGGCAGGAGGGTTGGTGGAAATGAAACTGAAAGTCACCGCCGCAGCTAGAAGTTAGCGGCCCTCGGATGCGGCTGCAGCAAGGGGGGAACCCCCTAACTCTGACCCCTGATCCTGCAGGATCCCTTCTCCCTACCACGCTTCCCACCTCCGTTCTTTTCCTACCTGAGCCTTCCCTTCGATCTCTTCGTCCTATCCCCTCCCCCTCTTCCCATTAACTCTTTCCTCAGGAGCCTGACCCCTCCCTCAGGGCCCTCCCCTTACCCCAAGCTCCCTCCCCTGGCTTCAAGCCAGAATCAGAACGTGGCTACCGCCTGGGGCCCCCGAACAGTCCAGGAGGACTTCCGAGGCTCAGCTAGGGCTACTCCCACGCCCAACCCCCAGAGCCTGGGGACCTAGTGAAAAGCAGAAGAGCAAAGGGCAGGGACTGGGACCTGGGTCGGCTGCAGCTGGACTGGGGCAGCTCATCCAGCACCTCCCCCAGACTGCCAGGGACATAAACCAGTACGGAAGCGAGCGGCACGCCCCCCTCCCCCATTTTCCCTTCTTGGGCTTTCAGACTCAGGGAGGAAGGCATAAGAGCCAAAGAAGTTTGGGGAAAGAACCAAGTGTCTCTGAGATAAAGGTGTGTACGTGTGTGGGAGGGAGGGACAAGGGGCTCTGCCAGAACGAACAGTCACTACTTTTCTCTGCCGCACAGACTTCGCGATGTGGAAAGGCTGATAATCTCTACCCTTGAGCCACATATTAGGGCACTTAATTGCATTCCAGTCTGTATTGCCTTTTAATTGTTACTGGCATATAAGTAAGGGTTGCCCAAGTCATCAAAATATTAGCTTCTTGAGAGGAAAAGACTGTTATGTTAGGCAGTAAATGGTTAACAGCTACAGCATCAGTACCAGGAAGAAAAGTAAAACACGGGCTAAGACTGACTAAGACAAACTAAAGGGGGTGGGGCCAGCACCACAAGCAACAGAAAACAACAAGCCTCTGCATCTGCTTATCCTCTGCAATAACAAAAACACACACTAGAATGGGGCAAAGATAATAAAAGTATATAAAAAATGTTTTAAAAAAAATATACCAGCATTCCAAATATATCTATTAAAACTGAGGCGGCAGGCCCAAAGTGGAATCGTTTGCCCCCCAGGAGAGCCAACCAAAACTCAAATGCAATTTCCCCCTTCCTAGAAATGTGACCTTTAAAACAGTCAATCTGAAATTTCCTGATTACCACTAGTGAGGTAATCTGCATGATAAAACCGCAGCGTTTCCTTCCCCCCAAAACAAGATGACCTGGTCTGAAACAATTCTTTTCTTTTGCAAATAACTTTTGTGCCCCACCCTCCTCCCTATAAAAACCTTCCATTTTGTTCCACTACTCGAGTGCCCTTCCGTTTGCTGGATGGGATGCTGCCAGATTCATGAATCGTTTAATAAAGCTAATTAGATCTTCAAATTTACTTGAATTTTGTTTTTTAACATATCAAAGGTAGTGTTGTTCTTCAAAGTAATTCCTTGTAGGAGGCCACACCCTCAATATGACCTAGTGTGAAGAATATCCAGAACCCAGGTCATGCAAGCTGGGCTACCTTTTTGCCTTTCCCCAGGCTACCAACTAAAGCCAAGAATAACAGGCTGTAGGCAACAGGAAATGCAATGTCACTGGGAACCAAAAATACAATGTGGGATGGACAAAAGTGGGGAGGGGGAGGTACATTATGTCTTAGAAATTGATTATGCAAAGTAGGGGAAAGAACTAGAAAAGTACCCACAGATTATACCATTTTTCTTTCCCAATTACCTGATGAAGACTGAGAGTAGGAAAGACAGTGAACTCCTCAAAATTGCTTTGTTACTTACCATTTCAAAAACCTACTTACTATCCACCAAACCCAAACTGAATGTCTGGCTCCATTCTGGGCAGCAAATCTAAATTCCCTTATTCTTGGATACATAACCTCCTATCTCTGGTTAGGCCTATCTCTTGGATGTTCTAAAAACACACAAACAGCTGTGAAAAGTAAAAACTTGGGTACAAATGTGATGTTATGTGGCCTTGGTTACAACGGAACCTCTCTAACCAGTTTCATCTGGAAAAATACACTTTACATGGAATTGTAATTGTTTTTTCACACTTGGATGTCTAGGTGTCTAGAATGGTCTTCCCACCTTTCACATACAGCTCAGGTCTCACTTCCTTGGATCCTTCCCCATGTGCACTTAGAAGAATCTGACTTTAAATAAGTAATAAGGTTGATTTTAGTATGGGTCCAAATAACACTGAAGGCAATCTGAAAGTTAACTTTGGCCAGCAGTGTTACTGGAATAAACCTATGGCCTCCTAGGATAACTACTTTGGAGAAGATTAAAAGCTCCATATTTTCTTAATTCTCATTACTCCAGTTACTTGGGTTCTACAGTTTGGCACTGAACGTTCTTTAACTGTATTCTAACCAGACTGTATGTACTAAGGCAACCAGAAACAGCCATTAAACTGAAATTCTGAAATTGGTCAGTCTACCATAGACCAGAGGAGAGGCCGTGGCTGGTACAGTGGATCCTCATTATTTGCAGATCATGTATTTGCCAATTCACCTACTCACTAAAATTCGTAACCCCAAAATCAATACTTGCCGTACTTTTGCAGTCATTCATGGACATGTGCAGAGCAGCAAAAGAATTTGAGTTGCCCAATGAGCACATTTCCAGCTGAAATGGAACAAGGTATCTTCTGCCTTCTTGTTTCAGCTCACATTATAAACAAATGTCCTTTCTGTGGTCACATTTTTTGAATTTTTGTGCTTTTTATTAGTGATTTCACTGCTTAAAATGGCCCCTAGGCCTGTCTACAGATGTCTAGTGTTCCTAAGCACAAGAAGGCTGTGACGTGCCTTACAGAGGAAATTCCATGTTAGGTAAGCTTCGTTCAGGCATGAGTTATATAGTGCTGTTGGTCATGAGTTCAATGTCACTGAATAAACAATGTATATTAACTAAGATGATTTAAATAGAAACACACACGAAACAAGATTATGTATTATTCAGTCGACAAAAGTATTGTGACCATAAGCTCACAGGAACCTTACCCTGTATTTCTCCTTGGAGCAATGTTTCAGTATTTGCTAATTCAGTTTTTGCTGGCAACTTTAGAGAACACAACTACAGTGAATGATGAGAATCAACTGTATATATTCTTATACATAAGAGTGCTTTTTGATACTGATAAATAAATGAAAAGCAATAATATATATTGGAGTTTATGAGGAAGCCATTTGTGTAAGACTAATTTGGCTGAATCTTGTTTTTCCAAAAGGGCCTGACGTGGCCTGTTGAGCATGCGTTGTATATCTGCTTTAAACATTTACTATGTCCCAAAGACAAGAATGATGCCCTTAAAGATAGGGATGTAACTTCCACCCCTAGATCGGCATTCTTTAAGGATAAGCATCTCTTCCTGGAAACTAAGGATTAATTACCATCCTGCTATGCTCACCTTGTGACCACTGATCTGCTGTGCCAGCTAAGCATCTCGTGACAGTAGCAAAAGATATACTCCTGTCATGTGTGATGTAAGCTTTGTTCCAAGATGGTATATAACCACTCTGTACACCACACTTCTTTGGTGCGCTTCCTTCCTTGGGGAAAGGTGGCTCTGGGCTATAGTCCTCAAACTTGGCTCATAATAAACTCACCCCAATTTTGATTTATAGATTGACTATGGAAGTCGTGTTGACAATTCTCTGAATTTGAGGGGGTGTGAAATTGGTTTCTGCCATCAGAAGGTTTAGATCTACCTTGTCTTCTTATGCATACCCCATCTGTTCTAGGGAGAATTTTAGTTAGTTTAACTTATCTTATGGGACCATCCAGGTTTGTTCTCTATTTACCAATCTTCCTTTCTTATTCTTTGACTTCCCCAGTAGTAGGTAGCTTGGTAGTTCTATATACAATTATAAATTCATAAATTGGCATTCAGGTATCTATCATTCTTTTGTGAGTTTGGAAAGAATGCGCCAAGGTTTGCCAAGTATCCTATGAACCTAGGTGAGTCCAGCATCAAAGTTCTAGATTATAAAACAGAGAACAGGCACTGAAAATAGCCGACTAAGAGGAGCACAACCATCCAGGCTCAAATGAAACAAACAGTCTTCAGCAGCGTAATTTCAAACAGACAAGTGAGGCCTCACAGAAAAGTCCTTTCCATCTGGCTGGGAAACCTTTGCCCTAGGATACCATCAGCTGATTTCAGCAGCATGTGAAATAAGACACAATTCAAGCAAATATTCTGTTGAAGGAGGTTAAGGAAGTCAGGAAGTCTCTGCAGGACTTGGCAAGGAGGGTTGACTTCCTCCCAATTAATACAAGTAACTAAGGGCTTTAGATAGCCAGGAGATTAAGAGTTTTTATGCAACTCTGTATGGGTTAAGGAAATCGATGGGATACCCTGGGGGCAGGCTGACAGAGTTAATAAGTTAAAGGAAAAGGCAAGAATGTTTGAATTTGTTTGCACTACAAGTACAGTATAGTACAGCTGAATGTCCCTCAAAAAGGTGGGAATTTTTACTGGCCTTGGATGGAGGTGAAGCACTGTTTGAAGCTTCTCTGGTTCTCTCTTGGGAACCAGGATAAAAGCCTTTCCCACATGTCTGTAGCTAAGCCAGACTTTTATGGAAGGAAAGCAGCAGAGTTAAGTCAATGTGAAATATTACCCAAATTCAAAGTACAGGGATTCTTTCATTTCTACTTCCTGCCTAGTAACTACAACCATACTTGGACCTTGTTTTCTGAGTGATATGTAGAGAAGACAACTAGATTCTTCTTTTTGACAGAAATGAAAAACCCAAAACAAAACCTTTGAACCACCGGTAGCCTCTGAGAGAAGAGCTGTATGATCCATAGAGACACTGCTCAAACTCAAAAAAGGAAAGACCTGTTCTTTGCAAGTCTTTGGACATTCAATGAAGCTGCAATAGTTGAAGGTAGGAACCAATTTCAGAATCCCTGAACGTTCTCATCAAGTAAGATCAAATACAGTTCTACATCTTACCTTGAGAACAAAGGCTAAAGAGATGGATCAAAGAGGAGAGACTCAGACAATTTAAGAACAAAACAGGTATATTTCTATTGGACTACCTGATACAGAGGATAGTGTGGTAGGGATGGATAGTATGAATGACAAATAATACAAATATATTTTATTTGAAATAAACAAAATGCTTACACAGCTCAACGGATCACCTGGAAACAAACTCTTGCTTGACTGTATTACTGAGCAAAAACAAAGCTTGAAGCACAAACACCCTTCTTTTTTGACATGTATTTGGAGATAGGTGGGAAGACACTACTTGGTTTTTAAAAAACTGACCTTCCCTTAAGGCCTGGTCATAGAAGTGTAAA